TCCATAACATAAAGAAAATACTTAACGTTGAATATGCATGCACATAATGAAAAAATTAACTGTACAGAGTGATTGGGTTTATGATAAATCACTAGATTTCTCCCAAAATAAATATAATATTGGAAAAAAAATTTGATTTCTTCTAGTCACAAATATTTCTTCATTTATCAGCTAATAATGACTTTTTAAAATCATCTCCTATAATTTAAAGGAGTGTCAACTTTACATTTTCAAATGGCAATATACATTTTTAACTAGTTTTTGAAATAAAGAATAATCTTATTAAGAAAATAACTGGTTGATAACAACTTTTGTATCAGAACTTCGGTAGTTATTCTCATTTTTATATCTTGATGGGAGGAAAAATACGGCTGCGAAATAACTAGTAATAAAAATTGCTACCTTACTACTCATCTCTAGTCATATCTTTAAATTGCTACAAACTTCTGATGTACTGGTACAAAAGTTGTTATCGACCAGTTATTTTCTTAATTAGATTATTTTATATTTCATAAACTAATGAAAAACGTATGTTACCGTTTGAAAAAATAAAGTTGACACCCTTTTAAGTTATATGGGCTGATTCTAAAAAGTCATAATTCGCTGATAAATTAAGAAATATGTGAAACTAAAAGAAATTAAAAAATGTTTTCACAATATTGTATTTATTTAGAGAATCGAGCGGTTTATGATTAATTGATCACTGTGTATATAATTTGATTTTAGTCAAAACCTTTACTTCTAAAAATGTTCTGACAAATCAATAACCCAACTTTAATTTAATTTATAAGTACTGAAATTATATATTAGGAAATAATACATACCTTAACCTATCTTAGCTAATCGATTTTTGCTATAGTCTTATAAAATCATTCATCAATAGGTTTATTTTTGCGTTAAACATGACCATAAAAAGATCAATTACACTTGACTTACAGTTATAACTATACTTTGAGTATTAAAAAAAATATCATAGAGGATACAGACTGTATAATCAATGAAGTTAATCTTCAATTTATTTATGTTTGTTTTTCCTTGTAGAACCTACTAATTATTATTTAAATTTTAAATGAGTCATTTTAAAAGTAACTTTTTGATTACTTATATTCTAATTAGAATTTATTCACAAATTGAATTAACAATTCATAGTTTAAAATTTTTTATCAAAATTATTTTTATAAATTTGTGCACTTTTTCATCATTTACATAATCCTTTTAAAATTATTAATCAATAATAGAGATAATATAGAAATATGGAATTAAGTGTAGGGTAACAGTTTAAACCAATAAACATGAGTTTTTTAAATATTAATAATAATTATTTTACACCTTTTACAATAGTTTGTACTGATTTTAGAGAGAAAAATGCCAGGAGGATTTTTTGTTTTACATTCTAGAGTTTTTTTTTATTAAATATTATTAATTATTTCATTCAACAGAATACTTACATAATAAATTATAACGATTCTCCATTAATTGTAAATTAAAGAGCAATTGTTTTATCATTCATGAATTGTAACCAGTCCAATTAGATAAAATGAGATCATTTGAGAGCATTCAAAATACTCTTTGCTGCTCTTGTACAGGGCCATTATTACAATTTTGTACGTATAGATATCATAGAGACCGCTATGTATTTATAATAAGTAGGCGGGACGAGACCAAAAATGACAGAATTTTAGGTGCACGAATATATACACTAAATACCGCAAATGACGCTCTTGTCCTATGCAAACATCTATGGAAAGGATTGTATAAATTATAGTAAACATTTTGCTGAAATATTCATTTCTCCTAAAATTCATATTTATATTAACCTAAATATTTTTTCATTATTTTTAAAAAGTACTAAGAGCAGTACTTTATTTTTATTAATTTGTATTGTAGTTTAAGTGTGCTACAAAAAATATATTCTCAGCAACAAATTTATCAGCTGTTAGAATAAATTTAATTTTTTTAATTTATTAAAAATCCGAAGTATTGATTTTAATTATTTCCTAAGCTATTGTAATTTGTATATTTTTAATTTTGGGTCGTAAAAGCGAATGTTGAGAAACGATTTACTTATAACAATATTAAACTACTGATCAAATAAATCTATGGTATAAAGTTCAATTAAACTTGCTACAAAATTGAAAGACTGTCGTGAGAATTTATTGTAATAACGTTTGGCAACAAATTCCAAACGTCGCCAAACCTTCAGTCTTGACATCCGAATAATTATTTTTAAGTGTGTTTATGCAAAAGCAAAACAATTGCTAGAATTATTGCGAATAATTATTGAATACTCTAACATTGTGCTACCATTGAACATTTAATACTAACTAGAAATATCAGTTTGATGAAAAATCAATAGTACGTAAGCTGAACAATATAATTATTTTATATGTACCTATAAACAGTTCATAACTGTATTAAGTTTAAATGTAATAAGAGAGTTATAAAATTATTAAATTTTAGTAATTTTGTTATGAATAATAAATCAAATTTACATCATATTTTGTAATATTCAATGTTCATGATAAAACAATACAAATCATCTAGATAAAATTATAAAAAAACTTTCAATATGTTAATTAGAACAATTCCAATAAGTATTCAAATTGATAACTGTTTACCTAATTCATTAATACAATATTTTAATTAACCTATGTATTGTTCACATTAATGTTAGAATTTGAAAATTTGTATTTGAATAAATACATAGATAAATACTTTAATTATACGAACTTTCTATCCATCATAATAAATTAGTAATACAGTTATATTTTTGTCGTCTTTGGTTGAAATTATAATAAAATATAAAATTATAATTTGCAAAATATAATTTATTGGCGTGATGTAGCGCAGTGTATCATTAAGTCGCCATCTTAGTACATGTTCATCTGCGCTGTTTGCTGTTGGGTCCCGGATGGATGATCATAAGGGAACTACAACAATAATACATACCTTGTCCTTATACCGATTTCCGCATCTATAATGTGTAGATAATAATAAGTAATATAAGTAGACAGCCGGTGTAAAATTCCATTAAATCTTTAAGGTATAGATAACGAAAAATATTTGAAATAGAGGCAATGGTAATGATATTACTTATTGGGAATCACAAGACTTGCAAAAAGACAAATAACTACTTTTTTAATTGTATAAAAATTTTTTTATTTTTTAATGCTTTATATTATTTTTTTGCATGTCCGTCAAAATAATAAATAAAATAATGGAGCTTAACACAACAATTGTTATGTCAGTTAATACTCACTTAGGATGTAAGAATAGACCTACATAATATTTTGGCTCTATCGATGAACTTTTTTATACATACTAAATTAATATCATTTACAGCACATTTGATAACACATTATAAAATTATGTTATAACTAAGTAAGAATAAGGCTTACAAAATATTTTTATCAATCATAATTGGCAGTGCAATCTAGAAGAATATATAATTTAAAGTAATTTGCTTACAACATAAAAATTTTTGATAACATAAATATATTTAAGTATACAATATATTATATAAGTACATTTTTAAATGCTTGTATTTTTATCTAAAAATATCAACTTATAAGTTTAATTTGAAGTTTTTTTTTATTAATAATAAGTAAACTCGAAGATTACAATTGTTCATGAAATAAGTTTTACTTTTATATTTGTTCATAGATTGCGCCATACATACTAAATTTTAGATATTTTGAATACCACTAAAAATAAATATTTTTTCATACAATTTTACACTACAAGATTTTTTTTATAAGAATTATTATTAAAATCAATTTAAGTATAGTGAAGTATTAAGTTATAATTTTAACCATTTAAGTCCCGACTTATGATCGAATAAATATAGGAAATTTTTGAAAAGAGCTTTTAAATTATATTTTTTGTAAAAATAATATTTTAAGAAAAATTTATATTAAAAAGATCTTTGCAATTTTATGTTAATTTTGTAATATTATATTATCACTTATAGTATTAGCATATAATATGATGTTATTATTTCTACACATATGTTACATATCATGAATATACAAGCACCAAAACACGGTTCCTTTATTTAAAATACTAAATAACCAGCTAATTATGAAATTTTGCGTAACAAAACATTAAGATAATCATAAATTTTAAGGGTTTATAACATAATTTATTCAATATTATTCAACCCCCGAGATACCACTAATTAATCCTTTTCATACAAATTTGTATGCAATTAATAAATCAAAATGAAATTGTATATCTGAGGTCTACATGATTAAGAACAAAACAATTGATAACATAATGTATTTAGTAACACCCAACTGGAATAATAAATATAGTTCTTAAGAACTTTGGATTAAGATTTTTAATAAAACTAAATAAAGTATTTATTAATTTGAATGTATGGTTTAAAAAAGTTTTTTCTTCTTTTAAATGTATTTAAAAATATTATTTAGTATATTAATATATATATAAATGTGTGTGTTTAATATTCTTTAATATTCAACAAAGGTTGACTCATTTATTACATTCTTCATTAGTCAGATAATAAAAATAAATTTTCTTTTCTTTTTAATACACGTTTATCTTAATTTATCCTTCATGAAGTAATTTTTATATTCATTCTTTATAATTCCTAAGGGTGTCAACATTAATTGTTTCATATAACCTCATGCATAATTAACAACTAGCTTACTTAATTATTACTCTATATTAACTTAAGCTATATTTAATCGATAGTTTTAGTTTTTTTTTACAACTAAAACTATTTAATCGAAAATAATCTAATTAATAATATAATAAATTTCTTGAGACCAGTCGACTACTAGACGAGAACAATGTTTGTACTAGTATTTCAGAAGTTATTCACATTTTATAGTGATGGTTGTATGTAAAATGAGAGTATTGATATTTTAATCAATAGTTATTTCTCGGGCTCAATTTTCCTACCGCCTAGAAATAAAAATGTCAATAATCTAAATTTAATACATTTTTTATATTTGTTTTTACACTAGTGTAACATTTTCAGAACACATTTTTATGACGTCAAACAAAGTAGATATAAAGTAGAAACTAAAATATTGCGAATAATAATTGAAAAACTATTAAGTTTTTAATAATTCTAACTAAAATTCATTGAATTAAAAATGGTAAGTTTAAATTTGAAATACATTTTTAATTATACAGCAATAATATTATCATTACTGTATAATAAAAAAAAACAATAATATATTATTATTATTAACAATATTGTTAAAAAAAAAAAAAAATTTTTTTATTATTTCTTTATAAATTGAGTCAAAAATAACAATCAGATCATAATTTTTTATGATTTTTTACTAGTTTATATTTAAACGAAATTGCAACCCCTAACCCCACCCCTGGTAGTGTTACTACTGCATAAACGTAGGGTGGTAAATTTATTTTGGGAAAGGTTAAATTTAAATTTCCATTCAACAAATATTTTCTTTTTAGGAATACATGTAATTTTGTCAAATTTGTATGGGGAATAAATTGTAAATTGGGCGACTGAGCTTCCTTAGCCCCACCCAACACCTATGCTCTGTTGTCAGAAAAAAGATAGTCATAAAAAGTATTTGCAATACTTACAAAATAGCACTCATGTCATTTATTCTTATTTTTCGATAGTACTCCCAATATCATCAAATTAAAATAGAGCGTGTTTTTTTTTTAGACTGTAGCAAAATACTATCATATTTTTAGTGTCATATGTTTATGTATTATAAGTACTACTAAAGGAGATAACAGCATGCAAGGTAAAAATAAAAAAGCAAAATTAATTAGTTTTTAATCAAAATTTATTGAATACTTGTTTTACTTATATATATAATTATACAATATAAACCCTTTTTATATATTTTAGAATCGTCCTTAATTTAATTTTCCTTGGAAAATAATCTGGTTTACTTTATAATATGAAACATTACTAAAAAATTTAAATAATTCTATGTATTTTGCTAATATTTTTAGAAAAACTATAGTCACTCTGTAATAATAATAATTAAATTACAAATGTTACCATAATTTAGAATAATTTTTATATAGACTCTATGTCAATAATTTTTATTTATGTTAAATATAATTTTTTTAGTTGCTATACAAGAAATGTTTAAAACAAGTAAGAACTATTTATTATTATTACATCAAATCATCTAAGGGTTCTAAAGAGGGACTGAAACCTTTCAATTTTTTTGTAATTTTGGTTTTGAAAAATGAACGGTTTTGGTAAAAAGAAAAACGAAAAAATAGGCTTTAACCGGTTATAACCGGTTTTTAGAAAATTGGTACAAAATTAATACTGGTAGGTAAATATAAATATACTAAAAAATATAGAGGTGAATAGGCCTCTTATTTTAAAATTTCAATATGATTATTTGTATTATTTCATGAGATGTTAGGGAGCGGAAATTAGATATAATAAGCCACTCCAAAAATGTTGTTAAAATTGCACTTATGCTAAAATGTAATTATTTCCTCTCATAGAGAATTATTGTACAAAGGAAATTCAAAACATAAAAGAGGCTAATGATAAGTTTTTAGCAGTGAGTTAATCACCCAAAATGATTTATTATTTAAACATTTTATGTTAATTTCTTGAACTACGTAGTTTTTTTTATTTTAAATTTCCACCATGAAATTAACATCATTTAAAAAGACAAAATTGAAATACAAATATTATATAAACAATGACTCATTAAATAAAAGTTATGTTCAGAAGTTTTTAGTTTTTATAATTACACTATTCATATAAAAGTTCTAATTTACTTTTCAATACTATAGACGAAATGATTTTATGCTTGCAGCCAGGTTTGTATATATTATTGCAACTATATTATTATTTATGTTTTTAAATATTTAAAGTGCTCATGAGGAGACTTCAAAAGTTTATCATAGTTCGATTAACTATCAATTTATATTCGATAAAATTCAAATTTTCTTCAACAGAAAAAGGATAATTTTTTTTACCGTAAAATTTACTGCGAATCTCCTCACCCGATAATGAAGTGCCTAAAATTTTATTGTAATGTTGGTACCTAAGTTCTCAACATTAGCTGCTAATATTAATAAATAATTATGTAAATTTATCTTAAGTTCGAAAAATTACTATTATTTTTTGTAATAAGAATTGATCATTTGTAGCTAATATTATTTGAAATTAAAACAAATATTTAAAATATTAATTTAAAGCTAAAAATGTTTTAACTCAAAAAACTAGTTGGATAAATCAAAAGTACACTTTTTTGTAAATTTGAAAAAATAATAAACAGACTTATATATATGTAACGCATAAGTCATTGGAATTTTGCATTTGACAATTATTACATGATTTCGTTTTTTTTTTTTCATTCCAAACTAGTACCAATCGAAATTTGCAAAATACTTTTTACGTGTTCTGCACAATTAGTAACTAACAACTAAGTAACACACTGTCATACACCACTTCATCAATCATCAAAAAATACATAAGACTTTTATTGTTATTTCAACTCACAAAAATTGCACTTAAAAAAAATCAAATAAAATTAAATAAATAAAAAATTTTTATGAATTTTCGAACGTATATTTTATTTTATAATTGTCTTTTTGTAGGTTATTTACCAAATATATAAAAATAAAAATAAAAAAATTTTATGTAAAAATAAAAAATTATATTTTTGAATTTTTAACAAAATTATAAATATTTTGATAGCAATTTCATAGTTATGAAATTAACATAAAAATAGTTACGGTGGAGGTGGGTTTTTTTCTGGAAAATTCTTACTTATTTTAAACTAATATAAAAACAATCAAATTGAACGGATAATAGAAAAGGACCAAAAAAGGTCCTAAAACTAAAAACGCCAAAAACATTTTTTTGCTATTAATTTTATTTATAATAATAATTGAGTTGCTTGGGATAGATGGATCTGATCTGAAATATAAAAAACCCAGCACAGGAGGGTCGCGACACAATGGTGACAGTGATTAAAATCACTATAAAAAAAAAAAAGCTTCGATGCAAATCTTTAGATAGTGTTTAATTTTAAAAAATTGGTGGTTTATTCCAAAAGCTACATGATCTACTAGTTCCTTATTAATATTTTGATTGAGATAAAGTATGTCGTATGAAAAAGGGATATAAATATTATTTCTCATAAAAAAATAATGTTGATCCATATACTTTTCAATAAGTTATAGCATTATAAAGTTAAAAATGTAAAAAATAAAATCGAGAATTTTCACACAAAAATAGCATTTGGTAGCCATTTTCACCGTGACGATAAAATAAAGTCCGAAATTTTTTTATTTCATAATAAAGTATATTACATTAGCTTTAATTTAAGATATATATAAAAGTGTTAGACTTTTCGGAACACTTTCAAAATTTAAGTTGAAAAAGTTAATTTTTTGTGAAAAAGTTGTCATTTTAAATACCCTCCTGTGAGCAAGTAAAGGGTCAGATTAAAAAAAAAAAATATACCAAAAGATAGGTAAAGACATCATGCATTTATATAAAAAAAAAATTATATTGATTTGGTTATTTTTAAAAAAGTTATGACAATTTTAAGTAAAAAAAATTGAAAAAATTTCGAAAATTAGCGATTTTTAAATTTGTAATTTTTTTGGAAGTTTCCCTCATTTGCGGGGAACAAGAGAACTATTTTTAAATTTTAAAGGTAATGTCTTCAATTAAATACGATTTGTGATCTTTTGACGTATCGCTTGAAGAAATCGGTTCGGTGAGAGCTGAAAAAAAATTAAAAAAAAAAACACATCATAGCAAAATTAATACCTTTTCAGTTTCGCATCGAAGCTTTATTTATTATATTTCAGTTCAATTCTTTGTTAAGTGTGAACTATATATTTTAAATAATAGCAGACATTTTTTTAATTGTATTTTCTATTTCATAAACAATAAAACGTAGGATAAGAAAATACATTGGTCCGTTTTTACAACCAGTATTTTGAAATGTATTCTCATTTTAAAATATATACAAACTATTAACAGTTAGTGAGATACAGATTATGACCATTTTTAAGCTATTAATATTTTATACTTAGGCGAAGAGAGGCTAAAAAATACAAAATGATCTATGTTTGAAAGTTATTTATAATTATTTAAATTTAATTTAGTGATAATTAAATAAAGAAAATTTTATATTTAAAGTTCTTACATAAATTTGAAAACTTCTCTGCAATTTCTTAAAAAAATTCCCCAGTATTACATTTTTGGAATTTTACAACACTATTCTTAAATGTTCTTTAAACCTGACCCTTATGTTTTAATTTTGTGTTCTTTGTCACATTTATTATAACTTCCACGTCATATTTTATAAATACTAATATATTTTAAAATAATTTTACTATACTATCAAGTTAAAATGCTTGATTGCAAAAAATATATGTATATAACAGTGGCGGCACTGCTTATAGAGACACTGTTATCACTGTTGTAATTTGTATAGTCATATAGATTTAATGTGTAAAATCTATGGTAACATATTTAATAATTAATAATTATATTTATTTTATATAATTAAAAGAGTATACAGAAATAAGTTTTAAATTATCGATTCTTTATTGTTTATTGTTTATGTGTGTATTTGTTATAGAATTTAGTATTAATAAAAGACTTTATTGTAGAATCGATCAACTTATTATTGAACAAAATTACATATCGATAATTTAAAACTTATTACTGTATACTCTTTTAATTACATAAAATAAATATAATTATTAATTATTAAATATGTTACCATAGATTTTACACATTAAATCTATATGATTATACAAATTACAACAGTGATAACAGTGTCCCTATAGCAGTGCCGCTACTGTTATATGTATAATAATGCTCAATCTATATAATTTTTACGAAGCTTCTAGAGATTCTCTCTTGTATGAATTTATTGGAGAAACTCCTTATGGTAAGTTATAAAAAATACTATATTAGATAATTAGATTCATCAATATCATTTTGAAATTAACCAAACAATTGTAAGTCAATATTTTTTATTTGATTTCTAAATTTGCTATTGATCCCAATTCACAATTTACAATATCTATTGGAAGGGCAAAGAATACGTTTAAAGTTAAGTGTCTTTACAAAATATAGGGGTCAGACCATCATTTTTTAATGTAGACTCGGTCACTTATTGTACGACTGGATCATCCGACCGGGGTACAGAGGCACGAGGAACGCGTCCAGCGCCCCGAGGATGTGTAACCATCGCATTGAGTTGAACGCATTTTGGATGTTCAGGCTCACTACCATTTTGAGGCTTTGCTCGTTCTTTGCCCCAAGGGCTAAGTCCCTGAAGAGGGAGGTTGCATCGTCCGTTGACCCCCCTCCTAAAACCGAACTAACCCTCGGCAAGTCCATCGACGTCTGCCAGGTGGGCCTCGATTTGTGTGACCAGCAGCCGCTCGAGGATTTTCCCCAGGTCATCCAACATGCACAGCGGTTGTTACGACGAGAGGAGACCCTCGGGCTTGTCACCCTTTCTCAGTAGCACCAACCTGGCGTTCTTCCACAACATGGGGAAAGTGATGAAATCTATAAAAAACTCACCCAAGACGGTTTTCCAACTAATTGATTAGGCTCATTCACAACAACCACTATCTAGAGATATCTACGTATGTAATAAAATATTGCCACTAAGAACAAAAAAATGTCTAGACCAGGTATGCACTATAGCTTTGATATAGAAAGTTTGAATGGACTTTAGACTTTGACAAAGTTCCCAAAAAATTATTCTACATCGACATGTGTCAGCAATTATTTTATATATCGAAATGACTTTAAACTTTTTCTTTCAATTATTTTATTTGTCTCTATTTTGTAATTAAAACAAAATAACTTTTTAGAGGATATTGAAAAGTATCTGTTTCTACCACGTAAGTTAAATTTGTGTTTTGTATAACTTTTGTTATACGCATTTTATGAATAAGTACCGCAAAATGTTATGTTAAAAATTAAATTATATAAATTGTACATTATATTAATATTGTTTGTTGCCTCTTTAATGTTTACAAACAAATTTTTAAAACTGTTTTAATCATGTTAAGCAATTGTAATAAACATTCAAAAATTATTTCTTTGATAGACTTAGAATATTATAGATCTTCAGAATATGGTAAGTAAAGATTTTGTAAATATCACTATCATAAATAATACATGATAATTACTTATTAAGTAATAATATTTGTATACAGAGTCCTTTTTTTATTATAACCCACTCAGTTACTTATAGAATAAATATAATTTAAACTTTTTTTATTTTGGTTATTTTAAGTTACATATTTTTTTTGAATTATGAACTATGTAATACTTTTTAAGTTCATCCCTTATGCTTTGTAAAGGTGTTAGCTTTGTTTTTTTAAATGGGAATACATATTTAGAATTTAATAAAATGTTTCAGTTTTTAATTCAATAGTAAATGGCATTTGAATTTTTAATATAACTTTATTAGTTTATTAGATATAAACATTTAAAGTATCAAATTTTTGAGTTAATATACATGTATAATTTACAAGGTTTTATAAATACAGGTAGCTAATTGTTTTTTATGACATCACTGTCACAGAAACAGCGTGTTTATTGTCAATTATAACTATCAATAAATAAACTTTCTGTATTGTCAGTTAGTGTATGAGAAACTCACAACAATGTACCTTAATACCATTGATAATAAAAATGTTGTGTACCTGCGAAAAACGATGTTTAAATTATATTTATTCCGTAAGTAATTGAGTGGGTTATGATAAAAAAATCACTCTGTATACTTATTTAATTTTTTTAAGATAATTTAATATTATTATAAATAATCCAGACCATTTGGAATCAAGCTGTTCGTAAAATGAAAAGAACAAAATAATTTTGTACCTATTCACTGAAAATAATTATAATTATTATAATTATTTTGTGGATAAAATTCTTATATATATTTTAATGTAATAATTAATTTAGGAGGCTCTGTAGGTTAAATTTCTTAGTGAACTACTTTATCTTAATCGACTATAATTTGATTTTGAGGACAGGCTTGTTGAAATTTCTCCATTTATAAAACTTTAAATTACACTTATAGTTCAATCAATCAAGTAATACGGTACCTTAATTCAAAATATCAGGAAAATATTAAAATAATAACTATAGGAAATTTGTTTGTTAAAACAAATTGTCAATAAAGGTTAAAATATTATTATAACCTTTACACTAAATAGAATTGAAGAAGCTATAAAAAACAATAATTCACAATTTTACGAATTATTTCAAATAAACATTAAAAAATAAGTCTTTTAAAATATTTTAGACTAAAGTCATAAATTAGTTTAGTGTATTAGCTGTCACAAAGAAAGTTAAAATTACTATTTAATTTGTAATACATTTTTTTATTATAACTTATAGGTAAACTAGAAATAGATATACTCGACAACGAGGTACTTTTTCAAAAAGTAGTTCAACTTAAATTAACAGCAAGTAAATAAAAGTTAAATATAATTTTATAAATACTATTTCATAAAATAATAATAGTTTTAATCTAAATAAATCTAATTTACATAAATTCATAAAAAAATGTTGATTCTCTTTCAAAATTTTATTAAACTAAAATATATGCAGTGCTATAAAAATATTTTTCATATTATGGGGGGAATAACTCCCCTCCATACCTACATATATATACTTGTACGGAAATACAATATTTACCTTTTGTATATATGAATACAAGTATTAACCTAACGTTGATATATTTTGATTAACTATATCATAAGTTTAAATGCATTATTTAACTGCATATCCGGGTCTCATAATATACTTTTTTGTTCCATATCTTATGAAATAATCATTAAAATGATTATTCTATAATTTACAATCTTTTTTTGAAAATATCAATGATAATAATTTTTTTTTAATTTTTATATCTATTAAGCTATAGAATAAAAAAAATGAAATTTTGGTATTTAAAAACTTCAAATACTGTTTTACAATATTAGTCATATATAAAAAATAATTTTTATTAATTAAAAAAAAAACCTATGTTTTATAATACTAATTATTTATGTTTCATTTCTAGCGGACACTACTTGTGATATTGACAACAACAACAGTTAGTGAAAATAATTTTGGTTTTTCTTAATAAAATATTGTATTGTGTATTTATGAATTTTTATAAATTAATATTGTTGTTACTATTCCATAGGATGTAATATTATACGATGTTCTGTAATTTTCAAAAAAAAAAGGTTTCTCTTCCACCTCTTCCCCCTTATAATGTTATACATTTTATTTTTTTAAATATAATCATATATGTTAATTAAACTTAAAAGTCTTAAAATGATCTATTTAAGACAATTACTGGTTAATAACAACTTTTGGACTAGAAGTGAAACGCGGGTTTATTAATTTTTATCAACTAAATTTTAATCAATTAAAAATTAAATTTTATTTCTAATAAAATATTAATACTTTTAGAAAATTTTACTTTAAATGACTACAATGAAGAAGCAAGAATACGATATAATGTACTTCTACCACCTATGCGAAGGTTACTCCATGAATTTTTGGGTAATTTTTTTTATATATTTTAAGGTTCAATTATGTTTTTGGATATAAAATTTTAAAATAAAACGTTAACAGTTCTAACAATTTTTTTTTAAAAATACTTTGATAAATATAGAGAGTAGTATAGATCTGACTAGAAATAACTCATCAAAATTTCGTTGTACTTTTTTTTTAAAACTTTAATAAAAAAATTGTAGTTGTATACGGATACACATCATAAATTATTCAAATATAAACAATTAATAAAAATAAATTTTTATAATTTATTTTACATCGAAATGTATCGAAACACATAATGAGCAATACTATCGGCGACAATGATCTAGTCCGGTGTCAGGGGCGGGAAATTGTATGATAACTACTCTTTGTCATGTTAATAACTGGACAGTTGATATCAAGTAGGACATGGTTGAGTACGGCGCGGTACCGTACCACTCATAAAAATGATTGCCTAAAACATTATTCACCATTTAATTAATTAAATGATGACTTTCAGTTGAAGAAAAAAATTGTAGTAGTGATAATGGAGTAAAATGTAAATTGATTGCATTGATCAAAAGAGCAGAAGATCCTCAAATAGTCAAAGAAATCCCTAGATGTGGAAAAATTCCAGGTCAATGCTTAATTGATACAATATATAAGGATGGAACAAAAATAAAAAATAAATTTTTGGACTACGAACATAAAAAAAGATTCGCAACAATGATATTAGATCATAACAACAATATTCAATTTTGGGACATTCCTGTATTATAGACATTATGATAATATAGCAATCATTTAATTTTAAACTATCTTAATATTATAATAATAGCAAAAAAATGAACTTAATGTATTTTTTAGTGTTATTTAATAAAAATATTCTACAAACAATCTGTTATCTTTTTTTATTAGACAAAATTACTATCTCTTATATTAAAAAGTTATACAACATTTTAATTTAAATATTAGGTTTTTATTTATTGTACGTGCCCCAAAACTAAACAAATTAAAACAATTTCATGAAAATATAAAGACATTGCATTGTGTTATTTTATTATTTAAATATAATCAACTTTTTATCAATAATAAATTGTTTAAACTATGTAATATCAAATAGGCAGTATTTATTTTAATCAAATCTTCAAAGTAAAAATAATATAACAAATAAGAATTATAAATTAAATTGTTTTAGTAGACTTTGAATAAGCTCTAATAGGTGTCGTAATATTTCGATTACATTATAATTTTATAATATCGATATGTACATTATAATTTTGATATATCATAATTCATTCAGATCTTATCTCAATTTTTCTAATCCAAATTTAGCAGTTTAATATTACCCACATGTGTAAAAAAATTAATATTCATTTCATTCAATTTTCCAAAGAATTAGTAAATAAGGGAAATCTTCAATAAAAATTATAAATTTAAAAATCACTGATTTTCGACATTTTTTCAATTTTTTTAAATTAAAAGTGCCATAACTTTTTGAAAAATAGATCAATAGAAAAAAAATTTTTTAAATAGATACATTAGATATTTACCTATCTAATAATACCTAGTAATTTTTTTTGTAAATCTGACTCTTCACCTGCCACAATGAAGGATTAAAAATGATAAATTTTTCACAGTAACTAACTATTGAAAGTGTTTCGGAAATATTGACACTTTTATATACATGGGGTAGTCAGTAAATAAGGAAAGATAAAAGATATTTCTTATTCATATTAAAATAATTTTATTATGTGGTTTTTTTTATTAATAATGAATACATTTTTATTTTCTCATTTCTCACTTGACAAAATTTTTTTAACGATACGTCAAATAATTTAGTTAAAGATATTACCCTCTTTGATTTTGGAATAATTTACTATTATCTTAAAATTAAATACTATCTACAGATATACATCGAAGCGTTTCTTATGATAGTGATTTTAATCGCTGTCAGATATCATCTATACTTATGCCAACTAGATTACTTACAACCTTACTGTACTATCGTTTTGTTTATTATTATATTTTATTATTCATGAACGCAAGTGTGAATTGTCTTTTATTGTTTATTAATTGCAATGAAATTAACGGCTTGACGTCACTTACCAGGCAAATATTGTTTCGACTACCTTATTTGACTTAGCACCTGTCATGATGGTAATATTTTTCCACAAAATTCGTATACGCGATTTTTAGTAATTTTGGAGAATTTTTGAAATGAATATTTTTTAGTTTTAAAATTATATCCTAATTTATTTTTAAATTTTAAATAATGAAACCACATTTAAAATTTTTGAGATTCGATGCGCAGCTGAGAAGGTTTTAATTTTACTATATGTTTTTTTTTTTCTTATTTTTTATTTTGTGCCTGTTACCACTTTTTCTCAGCTCTCACCCAACCGATTTCTTTCAACAATACGTCAACAGATCACAAATCGTATCTAGTGGAAGATATAACCTTCAAAAATTGAAAAAAATTTCCTTTTTCCCCGTAAATGGGAAAAATCTCCAAAATAACTACAAATTTAAAAATTGATAATTTTCGAAAATCTTTCAATTTTTTTACTTAAAACTATCATATCTTTTTCAATAATGATTATATCAATATAATTTTTTTTATATATATGCATGATGCCTTTACCTATCATTTGGTACATTTTTCTTTATAAATCTTACTCTTTATCTGCCCACAAGGAGAAATTTAAAATGACAACTCTTTCACAAAAAATTAACTTTTTCAACTTAACTTTACAAAGTATTTCGGAAATATTGACAATATATTTTATATATATCTTAAATTAATCCTAATATAATATACTTTCTTATGAAAAAAAAATTTTCGGACTTTATTTTGTTTTCACGTTGAAAATAGTTATCGAATGCTATTTTAGGGTGAAAATTCTCGATTTTATATTTTACATTTTTAACTTTATAATACTATAACTTATTGAAAAGTGTATGGATCACTACAATTTTTTTATGAGAAATAATATTTATATCCCTCTTTCATTCGACATACTTTTTTTTTAAATAATACCATTTCCCTTTATATATTTATATATTATAAATATATAGAGATATTTGTTTATTCCTATATTATATTTATAAATCATAAAACTTGTAATCAGGATATAAATAAGAAAATAAGAGATTATGTAGCTTTTGGAATAATCGACTATTTTTTTTAAAAATGAACACTATCTACAAATTTGCATCGAAGCGTTTTTTATGATAGTGATTCTAATTACTATCAGATATCATTATACTTGACCCAACTATGCCACGTCCCCACTGCGCCGCGCCCCATTGTGCTGGGTTTTTATTCATAATTTTTAGTTATTTTGGGATGTATGCAAAATAAATAGAAATAAATCATACAATTATATAAATACATTCATTTAAAACTTATGGATGAAAATATTTTTTTGGTAATTATTTTTATCAAATTGTATATGTTTTAAATATGTATACTAAGATCGCAAACATTATATTATCTAGAAAAAATAAAGAATTATCTTACAACTAATAAAAAATAAAACTGGAACGTCGTGGATTAAAACGAAATTTCATAATTTGCACACTGTGTTAATAAGGATAATCAGAGTATGTAAAATAATTATTACTACTGTATTAAATAATTTTTAATATTTTTTGTTTTGAGTAGATATATATATATATATATATACAGGGTGTTCAGTAAGTCTGGAAACGGGTTTCTATTGTTCTCATTGTTTGTAACAATGAGAACAATAGAAACCCGTTTCCTGACTTACTGAACACCCTGTATATATTTACACAGGAATAAATAAAATGAAAACTTATTTTTTTCAACTTTTGCTATAAGTTTGCTTTAATCTAATGGAATTATTTTGTTATAAAACCGCTTATTAAAGAAAATTTTTTAAATTGATCAAATGAAATTATTTTAAAGGTGTGCGCACATAGGCAGATAATAGTGCTTTCGTTGTCTCTGATTGATAAAGTACTATTAAAGTAGGCTAATTAATATTTATATTCACTAGAAAAAACTACAAATTTACATGGGAGTACTATCATATTTTTTAAAATAAAATTTCAAACTAAGTATACAAAATAGGTGCTTAAGCATAAATACTAAGCAAGTTCCTTAAATCTTCATAAAATATGGACCATTTTGAAAGGGTTAAAGAACGAGACATACTTTTGTTGCCCCTAACTATATCTACGCACTGAAATAAATCTATGATTTATTTCAGTTCAAAATTAGGTTTATTATTAACACTGTGTGAAAATGGATTATTAATATTTTTTATTAAGTTACAGATTGTGATGGAAAAGATAAAATTAATTGGGTTCATAGTTTTCTTTCTTCTCAATTCAGTTGTAAAAGGAAACATTAATAGTTTGAGAGGTACTATAAAGTATACAATAATAAAATAAAATTATATTATAGGCTATTATGTATTACATTTCATATTACTATTAGGAACACAATTACAAGTTTTAAAATGAATAACATTAAATATAATAATAATGATAATGAAAAATTAAATAATTTACATACAAAAATTTAAGAAATGCTAACAAAAAAAATTTAAAAAAAGGTAATAAATTGAAAAATGCCTGATTAAGTAATAATTTTACCACTATGTAGTCGTTTTAAGATCATAAGATAATATAGATTTAAAAAAACCCCAGCACAGGGGGGTCGCGGCACAGTGGTGACGTGGCATAGTTAGATCAAGTATAATGATATCTGACAGTGATTAAAATCACTATCAAAAAAAAAACGCTTCGATGCAAATTAGTGATAGTGTTTAATTTTAAAAAATTGGTTGATTATTCCAAAAGCTACATAATCTGCTAGTTCCTTATTAATATCTTAATTAAGATAAAGTATGTCGAATGAAAAAGGGATTATTAAAAAATATTATTTCTCATAAAAAAATAATGTTGATCCATGTACTTTTCAATATGTCATAGCATTATAAAGTTAAAAATGTAAAAAATAAAATCGAGAATTTTCACACAATAATAGCAATTGGTAACCATTTTAACCATGAAGATAAAATAAAGTCCGAAATTTTTTTTTTCATAATAAAGTCTATTACATTAGCTTTAATTTAAGATATATATAAAAGTGTCAGACTTTCCGGAACATTTTCAAAAGTCAAGTTGAAAAAATTAATTTTTTGTGAAAAAGTTGTCATTTTAAATCCCCCCCTGTGGGCAGGTAAAGGGTCAGATATAAAAAAAAAATATACCAAATGATAGGTAAAAACATCATGCATTTATATAAAAAAAAAATTATATTGATTTGGTTATTTTTAAAAAAGTTATGGCAATTTTAAGTAAAAAAAATTGAAAAAATTTCGAAAATTAGCGATTTTTAAATTTGTAATTTTTTTGGAAGTTTCCCTCATTTGCGGGGAACAAGAGAACTATTTTTAAATTTTAAAGGTAATGTCTTCGACTTTATACGATTTGTGATCTTTTGACGTATCATTGAAAGAAATCGGTTCGGTTAGAGCTGATAAAATGTGGTAACAGACACAAAAAAAAAAAAAACACATCTTAGTAAAATCAATACCTTCTCAGCTTCGCATCAAAGCTAAAATAATATTGCTAAGTAACAATAGCTATAAGTATAGTTTAATTTGTATTTTTCATTATTACCCTTAAACGTTTCCTTTTTAATTAACAAGTAAGTTAATAGCACACAGCCCGAGTAGATCCAACTGTCAGCAGTGAACCAAAAGAATCTATGTTTGCCACATTTGTAAATTAGTTAGGTTTATTTTTTTATACATAAAATACTAGGTGACCTTGGCCACGGAGATCCTGTCATTTTTGTTAAGTATGCGTTTTTGCCCTTCTGAATTTTTTATGTTTAATGAAAAAATTACGTTTATGTTTAACTTTACTGTTTTTTTTTTAAGTGCTTTTTCAATTAGCTTTAATTTTATAAGATACAGCTAGGAAAAGGAGATGCTTTAGAAGAACAAAAAAATCCTTTAGCCGCGTAGAAAGCATTTCCTTGTATTTTTTTGTAAAAATGTATTAACTTGACAACAATTAGTAAGTCTTAGGAATTATCTAGGAGGCTAGTCGAACTTATTAATACAAATTTATATTAAGATAAATTCTCTAACAGTAAATGTTATTAAATCATAAGAGTTTCGTACGATTTAATTTTAATTTGTTAAATTTTCATATTTCAAAATCAATGTGTTATAAATTTATTTAAAAATACTATAAAGTTATCATTGAATTTAATTAAAATTTTATGTTATTTTTACATAAATAAAATGTAAAATAAAGTATCTAATAATGCCTGATAAATAATAAAAAAATAATACGTATATAATGTAAAACTCAAATAGAGATGTTTTATCAAAAAGTTGAACATAAAAATAAAATAACATTATAATATAAAAAAAAAGTTATATTTAAAAATTTAATTAACGTTATTATATCATGAAAAACTCAAATAATGAATGACGTTTTTATATAAAACAAAAAAAATATTTAAATTAAGCCATGAATATTTGATTTATTATTAATGTGTAATTATAGATAAACTCTTTGCTTTATGCAAAAAGTGAAATATTTAAAATTTATGTATTAAAATTATGATAATGTCATGATTCACTAAAATACTATTATATTTTGGAAATAATTTATATATAAACAGTGGCGGCTCGTGGCTTAGACGACGGGACGATCGCACCGCCTACTAAATTGCATTAAAAGAAGAAAATTAATTGTATATTTTTATACAATTCTACATTTTTATTAAAAATGAAAATGTTTAAGTAGTAAAATAGTTATAATACATTTGTCGTGTGCAAACATTAAAGTTGTTTTTCTCAGTATATACGAGTAAGCATACACACACGAGCAGTGTACGAATGACCGACAGCGTCGTCCATACAGTAAAATATTAGTATATTACTAAATTGAGTAATTTATTTTTAGAATTAACTACGTGTACGCTCGTCATTATCTGTTGCTATAACAGAATAATCGCTACAATTATTTATTTCATTTCTATATTCTACTGCGACCTTTAAAATAATATGTGTATTGTGTTTATTTTATTATATTTAATTTGACATTTTTTTATACCTATGACTAGCGGCATTATATTTGAAGTCGTATCTAATAACTTAATATACTACAGAACGCAGAATAAATACAAGAAATTAAAATTGAGTGTTGAAAATTTGTTGTTTATGGATTTTCCATAATACGCAAATTGTAAATTTTGTAAATTCTATGTTCAAAAAAATTCAAAATTTATAAACTTAAGAATAAAATTGAAGTACTATTTAATATGAGTAAAACAGTACTAGTTCCACAGTGATAGCTTATTTGGATGTGAAGTTATAGGCTGTTTTTTCATGTTTTTAATTATAAAAAATGCTCTATCAGGTAAAAAAACAATAATAAAAAAAAAAAATATTATTTTTGTTGTCAATGACCTTTAAGAAGTCTATGATATAAATTTCATAAATTTCTGAACTATACCAGCACACACATTAGGTGATTTCATATGGAATGACCCAGTAGCGTATTTCAAAATTCATAATTTTTAATTTTTTTTATGACGAATAAAAATATAGAAAGATAATATAAGGTTGCCATTTAAAAATCCAAAGTTGATACAAATTCTAAGTATAAGGGATGATGATAGAAATTAAATTTTTCTTTCAATATTTCCAGGAGCTGCAAAAGAAGTATGTATTACAAGTAAGAAAAATTAGAATTTATTTTATAAAATACTTAATCATTATCATTTTAATTAACTAAACTAATTAGGCAATGTGTTAGATTATTAGATTTTTAAAAAAATATTTACCTAATTAAAAGGTTTTCTATTTTTTTTTTTGTGTGTATAAAACTGTTACATTATTTGTTGTGATTACAGATTCATTATATACGGATTTCGTAAAAGGTAATGTATTTTTTGTTTTCATACACTTTACGGTAAGTTATCATACGCTTCTGCCACATGCGTCATAAATTAATCTAAGTGTGATAAAACATTTTCTCACTTACAATGAGTACTCCTCAACTGATTTTACCGCCTCATTTTTAATTTTATACCAATAATTAAACATCAAACTGATTTCTACGAGACATAAAAATTGATTAGTAAATTTCATTAAAAAAATAAAAATATTCTAGATTTGCACATCATTTTTTTCATCTGTTAACAATTTTAAAATCTAAGTAATGATAAAAAATTAGTTAATTATAGGCAATTTCTTGTATTTGAATTAGTATATAGAATTAGATAAAAACTTCAAAAGTAAATTTTAAATAATACGAAATATATTTCCAGATTTTATAAAATTGTAACAACGTGCGTTTTAAAAATGAACTAGTTTATAAACGCTTACGGAGCACTTAACATTTTTTCTGATCTTCTTAAATAATTTTCTCGATTTTTAAAAAAAAAAAAAATTGAAAATCACAGTTAAGTAATTTCTCTTGTTTGGCGAATTTTTAACGTTTTATTATAAGTGAGGCATTTAATGTATACATCTTAATTTTATAAAATTAAATAATTTTATCTATCCTAAATATATCAATAATATTTAAATATGCTATTATAATAGTATTTTTCAAACTACATATAAGATTTTGTTTTCAATAATCTAGTTTAGATTTTTTTTTAAGGTGACAGAATACACTTAATACTTAAAATTATACAGAAATACTCTTATGGTAATTAATTACTTTACTTTATTATAAAACGTATATCTATTTTGTAAATATACTTATATAGTATTATAAAAACTATAAATATAATTTTGTTATAGATGAAATTTCGAAGTTCATTTTTCCTCCAGGTATTTCTAATCGAAATATTTTAAACTATATAGTAGTATATAAATAGACTGAATATTTCAAAATTGTTTGTCAACTTTTTTGTTAGTATTTCTATTTAAAATAAAAAATGGTTTTTGAAATAAATTTATTGGTACACATACTTATTATATGAAGAAAATTATGCAAAGATATGAATTGTTAGAAAGTACATTTTTTATCATTTATTTATAAAGCGTATTCAGTATTCAAAAACCCAGCACAGGGGGTCGCAGCACAGTGGTGACGTGTCATAGTTGGGGCAAGTATAATGATATCTGACAGTGATTAAAATCACTATGAAAAAAAAACGCTTCTATGCAAATTTTTAAATAGTGTTTAATTTTAAAAAATTGGTGGATTATACCAGAAACTACATTATCTGCTATTTCCTTATTTATATCCTGATTAAGATAAAGTATGTCGAATGAAATAGTGATATAAATATTATTTCTCATAAACAAATTGTATTGATCCATACACTTTTCAATAAGTTATGGCATTATAAAGTTAAAAATGTAAAAAATAAAATCGAGAATTTTCACACAAAAATAGCATCCGAAAACTATTTTCACTGTGAAAACAAAATATAATCCGAATTTTTTTTTTTCATAATAAAGTATATTACATTAGTATTAATTTAAAGTATTTATAAAAGTGTTAGTATTTCCTGAACACTTTCAAAAGTTAAGTTGAAAAAGTAAATTTTTTGTAAAAAAGTTTTAAATTTTTAAAGTTTTAAAAGTTAAAAAAGTAATTTTAAATCCTCTCCTATGGACAGATTAAGGGTCAGATTTATAAAAAAAAATACACCAAATTATAGGTAAAGACGTTTAGCATCTATAAAAAGAATTATATTGATTTGTTCATTTTAAAGAAAGTTATGGCAGTTTTAAGTAAAAAAAAATTGAACAAATTTCGAAAATTTGCGATCTTAAAATTTGTAATTTTTTTGGAGATTTCCCCCATTTGCGAGGAATAAGGGAAAATTTTTCAAATTAAAATATAAAAATTTATCATTTCTCGATTTATTTATTATATTTCAGTTCACTTCTTTGTAAAGTATGAACTATATATTTTAAATAATAGAAGACATTTTTTTACAGAATTATCAAACATAGAGACTTCATTATATGGTAAAGTAACAACTAATTTTTGTATAAATGTGTTGTTTAACTGTTACCATAATAACAGTTATCTTATATAACGAAAGATATTAATGTTTTTATGAATAACTAATTGATAACATTCTGTTGACCGTGACTTTTATTTTGCTTCACGCTCGTCTGAGGTGTCACTCTTTGCCGATCGACGTGTGGCATTAACAAATTGTGCATATTGTTCGTTGCATCTGCCCGTTTGTAGTAATATTATGATATACGTCTCTTAAGCATAAAGTCGTAATTTTTTGGCGGATTTCTTACCATTTGAGGGGAACGAAGAATTTTTGTTGGTAATATCTTCAAATATATAGAATTTATTATTTTTTGACGAATATTTAAAAAAAATTGTCCAGAAAAAGCTATAAAAATAATTTATAGACCGAAATAAAAAAAAATCGTGTTATAGTAAAATAAATATGTTCTCAACTTTAAAATTATACATCACAATAAAAATCATTACTTTGCCAGCTACATGAGGATGACTGAGTTAAGTAGTTCTAGAGAACCCAAAAGACATACGCCATTTTACCATCCTTTCTGGCGACACCTGATCTAGCAAAAAACTTAATATTTTAAACATCGTTAAACGAAATTACACATTATTAATTTTTTATATTATATATGTAATATTTATATACTATCTTATTGTTAGAATATACGGGTTTAGAATTGGAACACAGCGAGAAAGTATTTCAATTAATTATTCAAGACTATATAGAAGAAGGTACTATGCGTTTTTAGTCATTTCTAAATATTTTTTCCAATGTTATATAATTTAATTATATGTCAATGAAATAAATATGTTAATGTATTATTTACCTGTCACTTCTAAAAAAATATTATTTTTTGTTTGTTAAAGGTTATAATTTTGTAAACAAATTATTCAGTTTCGTTCTTTTTTCAGGAGATAATATTAATCCCGATTATACAATTTGTGACAAATTTAATGGCAAGTAATAATCAAAGGGTTTGCTGCTACAAAGGAGGTAGCTCCACTTATGGGTCAAATGTTGTAAAAAAAAATTACTCTTTCATTCAATAACAGAAAAATGTATTTACATGTATTTTTTGTCGAGTAATTAAAAAATAAAATACAAACGTCATTGTATTATATGGAATATAGTTACTTAAAATAAATATTAAATTTAGGGATTTCGAGGGGCTGAGATGACGATGTTTGACTTACTATGTGTAATAATAATATAATGTATTTTTTCTCTCGGGGTATGATTACTAGCTTTTTATGACAAGATTTAAAACACAGAGAAACAAACTGATATTTGAAAATGTATTAATATGATAATAATTTGAATTAGAAATCATTGTGATTAATTATCATGCTTTAAGTATCAATAAATGCACTCGTACTAGTAGTTATCAAAGTTTGTGTTGACTGTGAGTTGGGTCAATAAAAATACCTTGAGTAGAACAAGAACCACAAATGGGTTCTCCATCTTGACAAGAGAGTCTTTATTAGTATGGATCATATGGCAACCCACTCAAAAATTAGACTAGGCTGGTTATTTTCTTACAAACTTTATTGATTTATTTAATTTAAACAATATTTTATTATAGGGATCACTTAATTTTTCCAAATCCCTACCTAATTTATATACTCATTATTCTTAACTTTAAACCATATAAATCGTAAGAGAAACTATCTTTGTGATGTTTGAAATAAGGTTAAATAAATAAATAAATGTACTTCGTTTTTTGCGATGTACAATATTTGCCATGCCACTTGAACAAGTTGAAAAGATTATAAGGTGAAGAAAGAATGAGCAGAAGTGACAGTTTTATATTAAATTAAATATACATTTACTGTTATCTGTTTACTACTCGATTGTGTTAGTTATTACAGATTATTTTACTTTAAATCGCTGTTTTTTGACAACTAATGAATTCCTTATAGTTATTACATTAAGTTCTTATCATTGCATTTTTCTCATAATAGTATAAAAAATACACACGCATAATATGCATTTATTTTAATAACTAATATACAATGATTTATAGATTACTGAGTAATTAGTGGTATATGTATTATACAGAAAATAAAAAATTGTGTTTCAATTTTTCATTAAACAGGATAAAGTGGAGTTACCTTTTTTTTTGCGTAAAATCATTTAATTCTTATATAGAATGTATTAGTTTTGCCTTTTCTTTTGAAATGAGATTTATAATTATTAATTGAATTCTTTTGAACCATAGGTTTGTAATATATGTCTAGGTTGTCCATAGAGTAATCTAAAATTGTGTGTATTTTTATTAACTTTTTTATGTTAACATAAAAAAGGTAATTAAAACACATTCAAAAAATCATTCACAATTATATGTGAGTGATAGGTGAATTTCATGAATAATTTTTCAGGAAATTCACTGAACTTATTCGTGTTTAATGAAATCATTAATAAATTGTTTAAATTATACCTGAAACGTATTATTAACTTTCAGAAGGGATTTCCATTGAAAGTTATAATGAAGAGTTTCAGTTACGATACGATTATATATTAAAACCCACATTTAAAGATTTACTTCAAATTGAATTAAGTAATACATATTTTTTTAATTTTAATATTTTTATATAGATATTTATAAGATGAGTCATTGACAATAATTTTTAGTTATTGGTCCTCGGATTTTAATAAAAACAATACGTTAAAAACCCAGCACAGGGGGGTCGCGGCACAGTGATGCCATGGTATAATTGGATCAAGTATAAAGATATCTGACAGTGATTAAAATCACTATCAAAAATAAACGCTTCGATGCAAATCTTTAGATAGTGTTTAATTTTAAAAAAAATTGGTGTTTTATTCCAAAAGCTACTTGATCTGCTGGTTCCTTATTAATATCTCGATTAAGATAAAGTATGTCGAATGAAAAGGGTTTATTAAAAAATATTATTTCTCATAAAAAAATTGTGTGGATCCATAAACTTTTCAATAAGTTACAGCATTATAAAGTTAAATATAATATAAATAATAAAATCGAGAATTTTCACACGAAAATAGCATTTGGTAGCCATTTTTGCCGTGAAGACAAGTCCAGAGGTCAAATTTTTTTTTTTCAAATTAAAGTACATTACATTAGCTTTAATTTAAGATATATATAAAAGTGTCAGACCTTCCGGAACATTTTCAAAAGTTAAGTTGAAAAAGTTAATTTTTTGTGAAAAAGTTGTCATTTTAAATCCCCCCCTGTGGGCAGGTTAAGTGTCAGATTTACAAAAAAAATATACCAAATGATAGGTAAAGACATCAAGCATCTATATAAAAAAAAATTATATTGATATGTTCATTTTTGAAAAAGTTACGGCAGTTTTTAGTAAAAAAAATTGAAAAAATTTCGAAAATTAGCGATTTTTAAATTTGTAATTTTTTTGGAGGTTTCCCCCATTTACGGGGAACGAGGGAAATTTTTTCAATTTTGAAGGGTAATGTCTTCGACTAGATACGATTTGTGATCTTTTGACGTATCGTTGAAAGAAATCCGTGCGGTGAGAGCTGAGAAAAAGTGGTAACAGACACAAAAAAAAAAAAAAAAACACATTATAGTAAAACCAATACCTTCTCAGCTTCGCATCGAAGCTAAAATATAAAAACTTTACGTTAAAATATAAAAACTTATACTTGTATATAAGTAAATACGTATTAAATTAAAAATTATTTGGCCATAATTATCTCTCTTCACTAAATCTTTAATTAGAATACATTGTGTTTTTTAAATTGTGACAGTTTTATTTACAATCTAACATATATAACATTAGGTTATATAACATTTTAGCATTATATTTTCTAATATTTAATACAAATTCTAATTAACTAAAATTCTTATGATATTAATAAGACAAGTATTCCGTGATACGAATAAAAATTATTGTTTAAATTTAGTAACAGTTATTTGGTCATTATATCGAATTAAATCGATACGTTTAAAATATTTAAGTGTCTAAAATTATTGAATTTTCTTTTTCAGGTGACAAGGTTAATTGTTCAGATGACGAAGGGGTAAAGTGTAAATTGATAGCTTTAATTAGAAGATCAATTGATCATCAAATTGAGAATCAGTTAATAAACTGCGACAAACAACGACATCATTGTATCATTAATACAAAGTATAGAAATAATACACAAATAGAAAATCGTTTTTTTGACATCTATACAGAAGATCAAATTTGGGCTACTGTTATCATTAATGATGAAAATGGAGGATATAGTTTATGGGATCCATAAATAAAACTGTTCTAATTTTAATGTTCAACCAATTTTTGTCTCCACCTGTTTCGAGTTCTATTCCTAAACCTCCTAAAAATAGTTTACAAAATTTTTAATATTTGTAGTATTAATATTAATAGCAGTAACTATGTATGTGTCTAAGCTTTTATGTTTTGTTGTATTATTTAGAGTATTTAAAGATTATCAGAGTGGAATAGATCGAACTGACCACTCCAATAAATTTTGAGACAATAATCTTTTTACTGTGATTTATAATTAACAATTTTTTATAATTACATTATCTATATACAAGATCACCAAAACATGGTTTATGTATTTAAAATACAATATTAATAGTTTATTATAGATACAATCTACTTATTAAACAGATCTTTAGTATCGCTTATATATTGGAATTGACCAATTAGTAAAGAAGGCCCAGCTTCCAAGATCACGTTAGGGATCCCTAGACTACTGTTGTAATAGGCCCTATACATAAAATACAAAACACAATCAACACTTTCTATCCTCTAAAACAGCCAAACATACAACTATCACGATCACGCCACACAAATCCTCTCCTTCCCAACACATGCAAACGCTAAATAATCTAAAAAGATTATTCCAATTTAATGTGCATGCATTTCAGGCAACACTAGACCCCAAACCACACTGCCCCGATAGAGTCTTGAAAAACATTCACCACAAAGTTTAATACCACATATGATTCCTATTACACTTTTACTTATTATTATTTAAATTACACCAAAGGATATTTTAAATTACGACAAAGTGTCGCCCAATTATGAGCTTACTTTTAGCTTTGATGCGAAGCTGAGAAGGTATTGGTTTTACTATGATGTGTTTTTTTTTTTTTGTGTCTGTTACCACTTTTTCTCAGCTCTCACCGAACGGATTTCGTTCAACGATACGTCAAAAGATCACAAATCGTATCTAGTCGAAGACATTACCCTCAAAAATTGAAAAAATTACCCTCGTTCCTCGTAAATGGGGGAAACCTCCAAAAAAATTACAAATTTAAAAATCGCTAATTTTCGAAATTTTTTCAATTTTTTTACTAAAAACTGCCGTAACTTTTTCAAAAATGAACATATCAATATAATTTTTTTTTATAGATTGTTGATGTCCTTACTTATCATTTGGTATATTTTTTTTTGATATCTGACCCTTTACTTGCCCACAGGGGGGGATTTAAAATGACAACTTTTTCACAAAAAATTAATTTTTTCAACTTGACTTTTGAAAATGTTCCGGAAAGTCTGACACTTTTATATATATCTTAAATTAAAGCTTATGTAATGTACTTTAATTAAAAAAAAAAATTGACCTCTAGACTTGTCTTCACGGCAAAAATGGCTACCAAATGCTATTTTCGTGTGAAAATTCTCGATTTTATTTTTTATATTTTTAACTTTATAATGCTATAACTTATTGAAAAGTGTATAGATCAACACAATTTTTTTATGAGAAATAATATTTTTTAATAATCCCTTTTTCATTCGACATACTTTATCTTAATCAAGATATTAATAAGGAACTAGCAGATCATGTAGCTTTTGGAATAATACACCAATTTTTTTAAAATTAAACACAATCTAAAGATTTGCATCGAAGCGTTTATTTTAGATAGTGATTTTAATCACTGTCACCCCGCAAGGGAATCCGCAAGGATTACGGGCCTAACAACCCCGCGGACCCTAGTTATTTCAGTGGGGGTGGCAACACGTACTACTGCTCTTAGCCGGTCATGACTTTGATTAGTTGGGACCGGTAGGCCTGGGCATACCTGCTTGCTAACAGCGAATAGGCCCTCCTAACCCAGCCATACCAAGTGAAAGGGTTGCTAACTTGTCACAGGGTAGTTAGCCGAAAGGTAAAGTGACCATTGGCACCTGGCGCACCATAGAGTATACAGCCTTATCACAGTATCGAGCTCTGCTGTGACGGACCTTTATTTCTCGACTTATCGTGGGAACTATATCGATAAAAACATAGAAAAACCACAAAACAACGAACTTGTGACGATCAGGGATCCTACGGACAACCTGTCGGAACAAGAGCGTGAACTGGCGACTCTTCGCAAAAGAATCGCTGTACTGGAAGGTCTCAATGCCAACAACGGGACTCTTGGTGAACCGTCTACTAGCAAAGAGACAGCAACGTCAACTAATGCAGACCAGGAGTCGCAAGATCAACTGGGAGCAGTAGCTGACAAAATCGAGGATCTAAAACGTAGACCCTCGGACAATAGTGAATATTCAATTCACTCAGATAAACCTGCATCACAGTAAGGGGGCCAGTAGCGTGTTACTAAGGACCCTAACTGAGAGGCATACAACACCCTTACAAATAGCACTTATTCAGGAACCATGGATAAATGGGGACCAGATTAAGGGGCTAAATCTAAGGAATTTTAAACTGTTTCATAAACAAGCAGATAAACCAAGAACTTGCATTTTGGTTAATAATAAAGTTAAAGCCAGCCTGATACTTAATCTATCAAGTGCAGACTTGACTATTATTAGAGTAACACTAAATGATGGTAAAAACATTATAGTAGCTTCAGGATACTTACCATATGAGGTCACAGACCCAGGTAGGGACCTAACTATGCTCTTTAATTATTGCAAAAATGAAAAATTAGAACTAATCCTAGGTATGGATGCTAATGCACACCACACTATTTGGGGGAGCAGTAACATCAACCAAAGAGGAGAGGTTATAATGGATCTATTGCTGACTACAGACCTAAGTATACTTAATAGAGGTAGTGAACCTACTTTTGTTATCAGGAACAGGCAGGAAGTCATTGATCTAACAGTTTGTTCAAAAGGGTTACTTCAAAAGATAAAAGGGTGGAAAGTGTCCTCCGAACCTTCTCTTTCTGATCATAGGCACTTACGATTCACTTTGGAAATTAACAAAGTTGAGACGGAGTACTATAGGAACCCGAAAAGAACAAACTGGGACAAATACAGGGCAGATCTCTCTCGTGACCTGATTAACCTACAGTTTAGATTGGGGTCGAGACAGAGTACTGAAAGGGCTGTAAATATGCTACAGGACTCCATTGTCTCAGCTTACAAAGAAAACTGTCCTTTAATAGAAAGGAAAGGTACAGGGCAGGGTGTAGCTTGGTGGAATGCTAACCTGTCTAAATTAAGAAAGAGTTCACGTAAGCTCTTAAATAAAGCAATGAAATCAGGTTTGGAACAACACTGGGAATCCTATAAGGACGCCCAAAGGAACTACAAATCTGCATTGAAAAAGTCCAAAAGAGAAAGCTGGAAGAAGTTCTGTGGGGATATACAACAACTCCCTATAGCAACTAGACTTCTGCGATCACTAAGGAATGGACCAAACAAAACTGTCGAGGCAATACTACTGCCAGACGGAATGTTCACCAATAATGATAATGAAACATTATCACATTTGATGAACACACATTTTCCTGACTCTACAATTAACAACAGAGAACAGGAACATGATGCACAGGACAAACGTGTGACCTGTGCTGATTGGAGACTAACCAGGAAAGTGATAACCCCAAGTGGAATAAGATGGGCAATAAAAGCCTTTGGCAGTTTTAAAGCTGCAGGCTGTGACGAAATTTTCCCTGCACTTCTGCAAGAAGGGTTAGAGATAATCGTCCCCCATCTCTGCAAAATATTTAGGGCATGCCTTGCCTATGGTTATCAACCAGAAAGCTGGCGTAAGGTTAGGGTAGTGTTTATACCCAAACCTAACCGCACTAACTATTATGAAGCAAAATCCTACAGACCAATAAGTCTTACTTCTTTTCTTCTTAAGACTATGGAGAAACTTATTGATAGGTACATCAAGGAGGGGCCTCTTAAGGAGAACCCTTTACATGAAAACCAACATGCGTATCAAACGGGGAAATCTACTGATACAGCTCTACACTGCTTAACTACTAAGATAGGGAAAGCTGTAGAGAATAAAATGTATGCAGTAGGTATATTCCTGGACATCGAAGGGGCTTTTGACAATACTCCCTTCGATGCTATGTGTGAATCTGCACAACAGCGTGGAATAGAACCACTTATTATTAAGTGGATAGAATCCATGCTTAAGGAACGCTCCATTTTGGGACAGCTCAATGAGACCAAAGTAATCAAGAGTGTCAAACAGGGATGCCCACAAGGCGGGGTTCTATCCCCCTTGCTATGGTGTCTAGTATTGGACTCGCTTATTAGAGAGTTAAACAAATATTGTTATACACAAGCCTATGCGGATGACTTGGTTATAACAGTGGTGGGTAAATTCCCAGACACTATTATTGACTTAGCACAACAGAGACTTAACACTATACAGATATGGTGTAGTAAGTACGGTCTATCTGTTAATCCAAATAAAGCAGAGGTTGTTATGTTCACTAGAAAGAGAATAGGACTAGACAACCTGGACACTCTTACTCTGAATGGACAAGAAATTAGCTTAAAATCAGAAGTAAAATACTTAGGTATTATCTTGGATAGTAAGCTAAAATGGAAATCACATGTTGAGTCAAGAATCAAAAAAGCAATGACCACATTGTGGACTTGCAGCAGAGCCTTGGGAAAGACATGGGGTCTTAAACCAAGAGTTATGTATTGGTTGTACACGTCAGTGATTAAACCTATGATATTGTACGGTGCCCTGGTCTGGTGGACCAGAACAGCACTCATTACAGCTAGGAAAGAACTTAGTCGCATACAGAGAATGGCTGCTATTGCCATCACTGGAGCATTAAGAACTACACCAACGGTCGCATTAGAGGCACTAATTGGATTGCCTCCTCTGCATCTAGAGGTGAAAGCTCACGCCAAAGCTACAGCACTAAGATTCCACAACTTAGGTATGTGGACTTTGGAGAGTGATACAACAGAACATGGTAAAATACTAAAAGAGATAGACAAGGGCTTTTTAGAATACCCCTTGGACTATATCAAACCGGTTCTTAAGAATAACATTCCCTACAAAGTGGAGATCACTACACGTATAGAATGGAATATTAACCACCTGACTGACAAAGGAGGATTTGTGATATATACAGATGGATCCAAAAAATCAGGAAAGGTAGGTGCTGGAATTTGGGGCTTAAAGCCACGAATAAATGTCAGTATGTCATTGGGCACAACACCCTCTGTTTTCCAAGCAGAGGTGATGGCGATACTGGTAGGGGCTCAGAACCTGCTGGTATACAAAAATAGGAAGATAACTATCTTAAGTGATAGTCAAGCGGCTTTGAAAGCACTCTGTAACGATCAGGTGAATTCAAAGCTGGTCCTCGAATGCAGGGAAACTTTAGAATCACTATCGAGGTTCAACAAAGTTACACTAGCGTGGGTACCGGGACACAACGGTGTCACTGGAAATGAGAATGCTGACTTTCTAGCCAGGAAAGGAGCAGAGAACACCTATGTTGGACCAGAACCAGTGGTAGGGCTCACTGAGCAATCGCTCAAAGCGTTACCCAAGAATTGGTGCAGAGAACAACACAGGAAAATCTGGAAGTACTTGGTAGTACCTAGACAATCTAAAATGTTTATCAAGACCCCTGGTTTATTGCTGGGTGATCTTAATAGCATGACTAGACATCAAATAAGCACCCTGACTGGTCTACTGACAGGACATGGTCACCTGCTTAAGCATCTTAACGCAATGGGGGTATCGGAATCACCATTGTGCAGGAAGTGTGGAGTAGAAGAGGAAGACTCATTTCACATAATGTGCGAATGTGAAGCCTTGTCCACACTAAGATCAAACTACTTGAATAAACCATTTCCTGAAAAAGAGGATATTAAAAACCTAAAACCCAGAGAGATACTTAATTTCGCCAGAAAGACAGGACTCTTTGGTCATCTTTAGAGGTGACTTTATGGTTGGTAATGTATTAACACTTTGGTGATAACACTTAGGTGGGTAAACCGAATCAAGGCAATTCGGTATGAGGTGCGCACAATGGACCAACAGGTCTGAGTGCATGGGCATTATGTCCACCTCAATAATAACTAAAACTAAAACTAAAACTTAATCACTGTCAGATATCATTATACTTGATCCAATTATACCATGGCATCACTGTGCCGCGATCCCTCTGTGCTGGGTTTTTTTTTAACTAAGGGTCTTTTTTACCATTTCATAATTTAGTTAAATATCTAACAAGTTTCAGAGATTTTTTTAATTTTTATTTTTTGTGTATAACTAGTTGTTATTATTTGTGTCAGTTTTAAGTGTATTATAAATGTTAATTATTATAGAAGTTAATATATTGTAGATCAATTGAAGTAACTTTTGTGTGAATCATTTTTTCTGAAATGTAAAGTTTGTAAAATATTTTGTAACTACCCAAATAAAACATTCAATTGTTTAAAAAAATGTGTTACATTTTTTTCATTTTAACAAAATATTGTATTTTGAAAAAAAAATGTTTTCACCTTTTTTGACTATAATTTTAGTGCAAAAAATAAGTTTTTTTAATTTTAACATAAAAGCGTTTTTTTTCTTTTGGAAATAAATACAAAAAACTATTCCCTGAGTTCAATTTTCAACCCTCTTGCAGAACGTGTAACCTTTAATTTTCATAAAAAAAATCTATGACATAAGACCGCTAAATATATTACTGTATATTTACATTTCAACAAGTATAACATTACAATGATTTTAATTATAGAAGAGATCTGTAATCTGCTATCTCCGCAAATACAGGATTCTACGTACGGTAATTTAAAAAATAAATGTTTAAAATAGAAACCATAAAGAAGAAAACATTAATGTATATGAACAAGATAATAACCAACTATTAATATGTATAATATACATATTTATCAAAATTGATAGTAGATACTATAAATTTCAATTTGTATAACAACTTTTTTTAAGAAATGTTTTTTTTATATAATGATAGCTTTATATTAGGGTTATCTTAAAGCTTTATCGATCCTTGTATAAAAGCAAAAATCAAATATCATGTATTCAGATATAACATCAAGTTTCTATTAATTTGTAACAATTTTTAGGCAATCGGTATTGTCCTATGCAACTAGATTTTATTCTAGACCTGGCTATATTAGGTTAGAATATATTTTTAAGACTATGCATATTGAGTAGCTAGTCACGTTATAATGTCTTTTATCTATTGAAAATTGCGCCGGCAAACAATGCAAATAGAAAATGTCTAGATCCACAATATTGATCATTCATTTCTTCAATCATTAATTAAATTTTCAATAATACTTCTTTATTATCTAACTCTCTACATTAACAATGGTTATCCTTCATAAATTGTCATCTTAATTATATTTTAATACATGTATACTATCCATTTTATATTCATCTCACACAATAGTCATAAATATGTTAACTACATTAACTTCACTAAAGATGTTTTTCTTTCATACGAGAATGATTATACTACACTTATAAACACTTTTTATTTTATGTAAAAAAAGAGAATATATGTCAATTCTATTTTAAAATGAATTGTATTTTATAAGCCTTGTTAAGACTGATAATGAGTTGTTGGGGGAAGCAAAACTTATAGAAAGATGAAAAATCCCTCCAATTTATATAGGTTTTGTAGCAATTTTATATCTTATACAGTGTGCATAAGTTATTATATAAGAAATTATACATACACATAAGTTAAAAATAATATGTAGGGCGCGCATTTGGTTCTTCCCAAGTTCAGTTGGAGTATCACTAGTCAACATAATCCCAAGAACTATGAAGCCGCTAAAGAGATTGCCTCCTGACTTGTAATTACGGTTCAGTTAAAAAGTATGAGACTAAGGGATAACTACTAGCCAGCCACCAGCACAACTGCTTTTACTGTTTACCAACCAAAAGACAAAATCTCTGACCTTAACTCTAGTCACACAATAATGTTAATAATAACAATGAAATTATGAATTTTATGAAAAATAAAATTTAAATCATAAGTCTTCAGCACGGAAAAAATCATTTTTGTTTCTAAATGGTAATAGCTTTTGATTAAAACTTTGATGATCTCATGAATTTTGAAGGCATGGCTCAAAGGTCCGAACCCCCATTAAATACACCTCTTGTTTTAAGTTCATTAACTAATAAAAATGTACAAATTATTTTTAATTTAGTATTTTTTAGTAATAACTTATATCATAGATATAACTCGAGTTAGTACATTAACTATACTATGACAAAATTTTCAGAAATAATTAAAATAAACAGATATATTTGTTTTAATTCCTACTTATACACATTTTCAAGAACAATATAATAATGCTGTTTTACGACGTAGTTTTAACTTGTGTATAAATATTTAAGTAATATATTTTAATGCAATAGATAAAGAAAAATGTCGATAGTAAAAAGTATTTTTTAAATATTCAAACTTGAGAATTACTTTGGAAGATTTTTTAATAAAAATAAAATGTAGATTTTTTTGTTATTTGCATATTAAACTATTATATATGAAATAATTTCCTTATAATTAGTTTAACTAGCTTAGTTACTTAAAAAATAAACCTAATAATAATCTAGGAACATACATAAAGGAATCATTAAGACGATTTTCTCTTTAAAATATTTTTATCAATCAATTTTTTCTTAATTACTTGGTACACCAATTAAAAATTTTATACAACATACGAAATTTTCTATGTATTTCAACTTTCCCAACCTTTTTTAATACTGACTTTTATATTATATATTTTTCAAATCAATTTTAACAGTTTTAAATTTGTTAAAAGCATATTTCTTATTATTTGTCTTTAATGAGAAAAAAATAAACAGGATTTTTATATTTGTTTGAATTTTAGTAGTAGTATTTTTGTTCTTTCTTTATAAATAATTTTCTTGGGTCAATAGCAATTCTAGGATAAGTATCTATGCAAAATATTAGCTGATTCAAAAGTTAGTATAAAAATCTGTATATATTCTTCTAATTCCTCTTATATATAACAAAATAATCACATTTTCCAAAAAGCACATAGAAATATAAAATTGGTGATATCTTTAATATTACCAATTAAAATATCATTTCAATGCATGAAATTTAATAAAAAAAAATTGTGTATAGAAATAATAAAAATAGACTATTCTGGCTGATTGATTAAAAAAAAATGAGTCATAGTAACCGTTTGTATATTTATTAATAATGACGATTTTCACTTCAAAATCAGTTTTCGGCATAATTAGAATCCAGAATCAGAATAATAATCGAATCAGGAATCATTAATAGTATTGTAAAGTAATAATCAAAAATTATTGATCAAAAATGGCTAAATTTATAACAAGTATAATTAGAAGTGTCAAGAAGAAATTTGAAATAAGAAAAAATATTAAGGGTAATATTTTGTACTTTCAATCAACAAATGTCTGTTATGAAAGTATGACGTTCCATCGTCTTAATCGCACATGAAACGATATAGGAGGCGAAAAGACTAGTGCTAGTAAATACTAATTTCCAGTCAATTTGCATGAAAATTATATAATTAAGAATATAAATAAGTGTTTTTATAATAAATTCTAATTATTTATTTATTTATAAAAATATATACGCCTAGTAGGTAAAGAGTATAAATAATGTAACATTAAACAGAAATACAATAATAATTTTTAAGACCCCATTTAAGCACGTATATTATAAAATACAAAATTGGACTCATTCAATTTATTTCCCATAGATTTATTGAACGATTCAATGAAGCATTCATACTATAACAAAATGAAGGACCATAAAAAACTTTGAGCTTCGTAAATTTTGTCTCGGAACATGAGACAGTATCAATAAGAGAATTTATCTTATTAACTAACAAACTAAAGAGCCACATGACATCTAGATATTTCCTCTTAGTTTCAAGAGATTCGATAATAGAACATTTCATTTCTCAATCAAAATAAATTCATTAAAATGGTGTATTAGATTTCAACTTCATATAAATTTAATATATTTTTAAAGATGTCTATATTACTTTGTTGACAAATAGCTATGAAATTCTATAAAATCAACATTAATAATAGTGTTTCTGAAGAATCATGTTTTTCTATTATACCGAGTTGTATTAATTTATGCGATACAACTGTCTAAATATGTGTGTCGAAGAAATATTATAAAAAACATTTTTACTTCAATACCAAAACAATTTGAATGACACTAAATTCTCTTCCTTTTCAAGTTGAAATTTAAAAGGTATGTACAAAAAAAATAATTAAAACAGAATACTATGAATTGATATTTATGTGTGTGTATAAATTTAGTTTAGAAAATCTTAATATTTCATTTGTATAATTAATTTATAAAATTGGAATATAACAATCATAACAATATATTAACAAAAAATAGTTTAATTTTCTAATTTCTAGTTTTCATTTATGATTCGAAATTTTCAATAAATTTTACTACTTAAGTTTAATATTTACTGAACTAATTTTAGTCGTTTCATTTCGTGGTTACCCACAATTTTTACATTATTTATAAATTTTTTTTTTTTATTTAAAAATTTACAATCTGTACAATTTAGAGTACTATAAGTATATGTATTAGTATAATACAAAAACGAGATACATTTGAGAAAGAAACAACTCATTAGTGGTACATAAGTTTTATAATATAACATTTTGGCCAATTTACCAGTAAGTCACCACACCACTGTCTCTTTAGACGTCATCTAGAATTGCCTGGTATAGTGTTATTATACATGTTATTGAAAGTACAATTTAGATGATTTTCTAATCTATTATGAAAACGTCAATAAAATTTCATGTGTTACATTTTTTATATGGAGGTCTTTATGTAAATTATAGTTCGATATATAATAATGGGGGAGTTAGTACTTTTTCTAAGAGTTCTGGAATTGTTGAATTTTGTTAGTAATAAATTTCTTTGCAGTACCCAATAATTGGAGCCTATATGTCTATATTTCTTTTATGTGTGATTTATATATTAAGATTTTAGTTTTCAGGTTAGTATGTCGATTATTTATAAAAAACGAGCGTAGCAAGCAAAGGCGTAAGTTTAAAAGAAGTATTTTTTATGAATATAGTTGCTTTGTTAATATTTATCAAAGATTAAACCTAAATATTTCAGTTTAACAAAAGAGGGAATGAGAGTATTATTTAGAGGGATCCCAGGCCAGGTGGAGTGACGTATAGTAAAAATTGTATGTACCAATTTATTCTGACTAGGTTTTATACGTTATTAGCTTCGATGCGAAGCTGAGAAGGTATTGGTTTTACTATGATGTGTTTTTTTTTAATTTTTTTTTTGTGTCTGTTACCACTTTTACACAGCTCTCACCGAACGGATTTCTTTCAACGATACGTCAAAAGATCACAAATCGTATCTAGTCGAAGACATTACCCTCAAAAATTGAAAAAATTTCCCTCGTTCCCCGTAAATAGGGGAAAAAGCCAAAAAAATTACAAATTTAAAAATCACTAATTTTCGAAATTTTTTAAATTTTTTTTACTAAAAACTGCCGTAACTTTTTCAAAAATGAACATATCAATATAATTTTTTTTTATATAGATGCTTGATGTCTTTACTTATCATTTGGTATATTTTTTTTGTAAATCTGACACTTAACCTGCCCACAGGGGGGGATTTAAAATGACAACTTTTTCACAAAAAATTTACTTTTTCAATTAACTTTTGAAAGTGTTCCGGAAGGTCTGACACTTTTTTATGTATCTTATATTAAAGATTTGTATGTATGTAATGTACTTTATTATGGCAAAAAAAAATTTGACCTCTGGACTTGTCTTCATGGTGAAAATGGCTACCGAATGCTATTTTTTTGTGAAAATTTTCGATTTTATAATTTACATTTTTTACTTTATAATGCTATAACTTATTGAAAAGTTTATGGATCCACACAATTTTTTTATGAGAAATAATATTTTTTAATAAACCCTTTTTCATTCGACATACTTTATCTTAATCAGCATATTAATAAGGAACTAGCAGATCATGTAGCTTTTAGAATAATACACCAACTTTTTAAAATTAAACACTATCTAAAGATGTGCATCGAAGCGTTTATTTTTGATAGTGATTTTAATCACTGTCAGATAACATTATACTTGATTCAACTATGCCACGTCACCACTGTGCCGTGACCCCCCTGCGCTGGGTTTTTATTATTCCATTTGGCCATCAGGTTAAGGTGGTTTTGCGAGTTAGGTGAGACAATATCTGGGTTTTCAAGTATTGAGATAATGGTTTTATCATCACCACAGTCAACTACTTATGTGTGCAATGTAGTGGATTGATCTGAAGAAAAAATGTTAAACAGCATACGTAATAAAATCCCCCCTTGGGGAACGCCCGCATTGATTTCTTCAATTTTTGACGTTGCTAAGCCAAACAGTAATTGGAAATAGCGATCAGCTAAATAAGATTTTAATAAAAAATATAATGATGAATAATTAATTTTTTTTAGTTTGTATAATATGCCTTTATATCATACCATGTCAAAGGCGTCATTTATGTCTAGGATTGCACACGTGCAGTTTGTACAGTATAATTTTTGCTCAAAGAAAAAAGAAATGGCATCGACAAGTCTATGAGCTTGAGGGATTGTTTTGTGAAAGGGACGAAAGTGAAATTGTGAGTTAGTCAAAATATTGTGTTTTTACAATTGATGCTAATAAGCGTTTTATTATAAGCTTCTCTAAAACTTCACATAAAAATAATAGTAGACTTATTGGTCTGTAGGAGGAGAGCGCGTAGAGACGTTTGACAAGTTTTGCTATAAGGATGATATTCAAAAATTTCCAAAGGAGAGGAAAATATTCAGTTCTCATGACTGCACAAAATATATTTGTGAGTAGTACTATCCCTATTTTTGCTAAGCATCTAGTAACATCAGCGATTATTAAGTCCAAGTCAGGTGATTTTTTTACTGCGTATTTTTTAATAGTGTATTTAACTCAGTTGTGAATTACTTTACAGGGAGACAAAGTAGCATAGACGCATTTAGAAATTTATAAACATTATTGATATGACCTGGATTAGCTATATCAGAGTGAGGTTTGAATATTTAAGACAAATGTTGTGAGAATATTTTCAGATTTATCTGTATCTGTTAGAGCAAAAGTGTTATCGGGTGTAGTTAATAGAGTTAATGATGTTTTAATATGTAAATTTTTTTTAATTTCATTAGCATTAAATAATTATTTAATATATAATTATATAATCTCTCATTATTATATTATAATATATAATATTATAATATAATAATGAGAGATTTGTTCGAAGGTGAGTTATTTGTCATTTATTTTTTCTAGAAAAATTTAAATAATTTGTGCTTCATTTGCTCATAATAGGTGCACTTTATGTACAACAATTTCATTTTTTTTTTTTTACAATTATCAATATTATTATTATTTATATATTTGACGGTATTATTTATGCCTTTTTAAGTTTCATACAAAAATGTACTTTTATGATTGTGTTTCTTTTTGCATTGAAATTAGTATATTTTATTATATAATAGGAAAGTTAATTAGGAAAATATACTGATTTTTTAGTTGGTTCTAGGTAAACAAAAAAGAAAGGGAGAGGTTGTTTTGTTGACTCGTGGAAGATATTTGTTACTTGCCTAACTTTGAACATAAGTGCACTTAGTTCATATTTGATTATATTTATGTGAGTAGAAGGGTGAATATTGCGAATAACAATTTTTAATGACTTGTCTTCTTTGAGTTGAAACGTATGAATTCAACATTTTCACTTTAAAAAATCGCACAAATGCCCTAAAGTCATCAGGGGTATCAGCTAAATATTCAAACGATTAGTAGCTGATTTGCATAAGAAATTGTTGTCGATTATTTGAGTTCAATTTTTACATAGTTCTATGAAGTCCAAAACACCTTTGTTTGTAATGTTCGTGGGTGGAGGACTGGCTTCATTGATTCAATGTCTTGGTTGATCGGTTATGCAGAATGTACGATGTACTCGTCACAGTAAGCATACAATGTATCCAACGGCACAATTCGGATCTGGTGCTGCTTAGGAAGCATTGATAAGCATTATTAATAATAGGATGGCTTAAATACGCTGAATTGTGCGATAAAGGAATGATCACATAAAATCAAATATTCAAAATATGAAAAAAATTTTGATTAGTATATCTAATATACTATATCCCAAAAATTATTTTTTTAAATAATTTTTACCTTAATTATGATAATTAAGATAGAAAAAAAAGCTATTACTATAATTACAAGGGACACTGCAAATCCAACTCAACCCCACTGCACCTTTAAAGTGTGCGTTATTTTATGCTTTAACTAATAATTTCATTTATGTAATTTTAACATTTATTATAGATGGCAAAAAAAAAATCTACTATGACTTGGATTTTTACGTTTATTCTATATTTTACAAGAAAGACAAATGCAATATCAAATGATATTATTGGTAATTATTTAGTATTTCAATTGAACATATCGAAATATTATATTTGAATAGTTTTTATCATTAAAGGATATACAATAATTCATGTGGTCTTAAATTGCTTATCAAATTATCAACAAAACTAATAAATTAACTCTAAAATAAATTTCAACTATTGTTTAATGATAAAACAGTAGCATTTTTTTTCAATTTTACTGACAGAAAAGTTCTAGTTGACTTAATTAACTAGAAAGGTAATCAAAATGTTTACACTCTATAAACGGTTATCAAACGAACTATCAGTTAACCTATTTATTATTTTTACTAGTAATCACTCATTTTTCTTAACTGATTTTACACTTCAAAAATTTAATCCTAAATCTTAAAAAGATTTGATGAATCAACAATAATTGTATTTGTCATATTAATGATAAATTAGTATAGCTATATACTAATACTTTTGATTAAAACATACGTTGAAATAAAGTTTAGCCTATTTCTCTTTCTCATATTATTGACAGCAATTTAAATTTGATTGATTCAACAAAATTTGGAGGGTTTAGAGTCAATAAGAAATTCATTTTGCATCTTAGCTGTACATATTATATATTATAACATTTGACCCATGTCTCCATGTCTCCATTTATCTATTTTGTTTTTTAATTAGAATGTACTGCACAAATTTCAGCTACAAGTAAGAATAATGTCCATACTTTTCACTATATTCAATAGTTAATTTTAATCTTTGAAAAAAAAATATTATTGATACTAACTATTTTGTAATAATTATAATACAATTTTATAGACGGAATGATAATGAAACTAAATGATGGTAATATTTTTACATCATATTAAAAAAATGATTTTGTTTTAAAGTAAAATGCTCATACATATAAGCGTTGTCCTAGGAAATAAAATTTAAAAAGTTGTAAGTTACACCTTCCTATATTGTTTAAAAATTTAAAAAGATAAATCATAAAAAAATTGGTCAAGATTGATAAACTCTAACACGTTCCATATGAGGGTTAAAATTTGAACCTAAGAGATGATTTTTTAGTTTTTTGTATTTATCTCGAAAAATATCGCTCTTATGTTAAAATTGAATTGAAATTAATTTTTCACCTTAAAATTTTAGACATATCAAGTAGATTTATATTTTTTTTTGCGACTTAATCATTTTTGGATGTAATACCTAAATAATTTACAAACCGTAGATTTATAACAAAATGTTTAAATATATTAACCTGCTATAATACTTTTTGTAATGTTAAAATTAACTTAAATTATTTTTGAATGTTTGTATATAACTTGTTATTATTTGTGTTAGTTTTAATTCTATTATGAATGTCAATTATTATAGAAGTTAATATATTGTTAATCAATTTTTAAGTAAATTTTTAGTGAATCATTTTTTCTAAATAGATTGTAAAATATTTTTAACTAACCAAAAAAAACAATAAAACCTAAAATAAATGTTACCACTTTTTTTGATTATAATTTTAAAGTACAAAAGTTCTATTTTTATTTTAATATAAAAGCGATGTTTTTTTAAACATATACAAATAACTAAAAAACCACTCCTTCGGACCAATTTTCAATCTTCTTGAGGCACCTGTTTCAGTTGACCAATCTTAAATAAAAATTTTAGGACTTTTTTCATATTAAATGAATATAGTAGGAGGTGTATCTATTAATTTTAGTTATATAATTTTTTTCTGTAACATAAGACCCTTAAATGTATAATAATATTTATATTTCATGAAGCATAACAATTCAATGTTTTTATTTGTAGAAGAGATATGTAATTTGCTATCTCCGCACATACAGAAATTGTCATACGGTAATTTAAAAAATAAATAATTTAAATAGAAACCATAATAAAAAAAAACATATATTGTATATGAACAGTGGCGGCTCGTGGTTGCTGGTGGTGGAGATACGACTTTAAATATAATACCGCTAGTCATAGATATAAAAAATTGCCAAATTAAATATAATAAAATAAAACACAATACATATATTATTTTAAAGGTCGCAGTAGAAAATGGAAATGAAAATAATAATAGCGATGATTCTATTATAGAAATCGATAACGACGAGCATACACGTAGTTAATTCTAAAAATAAATTACCCAATATAGTAATATACTAATATATTTTCCCTGTGGATAGACTACTAAGGATACTTTCACGGCCCCTCTGCCAGTCGTAAGAGACGACTAATGAGGTTGCGTCAGGTCGACAGACGGCGTAAAATTATTGTCAAAAAGTATGAGGAGTCCTGAACTTAACTCAGGCGGATTGTGTCCATCTCGGATGTACGCGTATACATCAGTTTCAAGTGGAAGTTTAGGATAAGGGTGGCCGACACCAAGTAGTTGGGATCAAGGGGAGGAAAAAGACTAAGAGTATAATATACTAATATTTTACCGTATGGACGACGCTGCCGGTCGTCCGAACACTACTCGTGTGTACATGCGAACTCGCACTTACTGAGGGAAACAACATTAATGATCGCACTCGACAAATGTATTATAACTATTTTACTATTTAAAAATTTATATTTTTAATAAAAATTTAGTTAATACATTTCCTATATTCTTTTTTTTTTAATAACTGTATTATGTTACTATTTCCTTTTTTTTAAGCAACACTTGCAAAATAATAACAATACTTGTTTCGTACTATGAAATCAAAGCTTTATTTTAGGCAATCGGTATTGTCCTATGCAACTAGATTTTATTCTAGACCTGGCTATATTAGGTTAGAATATATTTTTAAGACTATGCATATTAGGTAGCTAATCACGTTGCTAATGTATTTTATCTAATGAAAATTGCGCCGGCAAACAATGCAAATAGAAAATGTCTAGATCCACAATTCTGATCATTCATTTCTTCAATCATTAATTAAATTTTCAATAATACTTCTTTAATTATTTAACTCTCTACATTAACAGTGCAGTGGCTATCCTTCATAAATTGTCATTTTAATTATACTTTAAGACATGTATACTATCCATTTTATATTCATCTCACACAATAGTCATAAATATGTTAACTACATTAACTTCACTAAAGATGTTTTTCTTTCATACGAGAATGATTATACTACACTTATAAACACTTTTTATTTTATGTAAAAAAAGAGAATATATGTCAATTCTATTTTAAAATGAATTGTATTTTATAAGCCTTGTTAAGACTGATAATGAGTTGTTGGGGGAAGCAAAACTTATAGAAAGATGAAAAATCCCTCCAATTTATATAGGTTTTGTAGCAATTTTATATCTTATACAGTGTGCATAAGTTATTATATAAGAAATTATACATACACATAAGTTAAAAATAATATGTAGGGCGCGCATTTGGTTCTTCCCAAGTTCAGTTGGAGTATCACTAGTCAACATAATCCCAAGAACTATGAAGCCGCTAAAGAGATTGCCTCCTGACTTGTAATTACGGTTCAGTTAAAAAGTATGAGACTAAGGGATAACTACTAGCCAGCCACCAGCACAACTGCTTTTACTGTTTACCAACCAAAAGACAAAATCTCTGACCTTAACTCTAGTCACACAATAATGTTAATAATAACAATAAAATTATGAATTTTATAAAAATTTGTATTTTTAAAAAAAATTTAGAATTAAGAATATACAATTATTTTTCTTCTTTTAATGACTTTTAGTAGTGGGGCGATCGTTCCGTCGTCCAAATCACGAGCCACCTCTGTATAATATTGTACATCACATGTGTATTATATAAAACATACAAATAGTGTTTTATAAAAAAAACAATCATATATAATGATAAGAAAAAAGTTTAATTTCTACAATCACGTAAATTAACATACGAAATCATTAAACATATTATTTTAAAATTTATGAGTTATTAATTGATAAAGCATTTAGATATCGTGTTTATAATTTCCATTTTACCGTTTAAAAATTTAATGTGTACATTTTTGTAGTTTTGTAAAACTACCTTAAGCTTACCTAACTGCCGAAAGGAAATAAACGTATTTTTATATATTTTTTTAAACACTAGAACAAATATACCAGATAATTTTTCATATTCCCTGGAAAATTAGTAAAAGTGGATATGTTACTTTTAAAATAGGCGATTTATTTGTGTCGTTGACTTGATTCAGTGACATAGCATTTCTTAAAGAGACTTCCTCGTCTTCGTTGAAAAAAGTTAATGTATCCATGTTTTGATATTTTTTTGCCTATCAGTTAATTATGAAAATAAATATTTCAGTCACTAGGGGAAATGATCTTTGCTGCCGTTTAGCTACGTCAATTACTTGTATTCTTATAATAATTATTATAAATTATAATTAATAAGTATTATTGTTATTATGTTAAGTTTCAATTACTAGTCTATTATATCACATAAAGATTAAAATTACTATATTTTTAAGAGATTTATCCCCTTATAGAACATAGGGTATTACTAACTTCTGAAAAGAAAAATTTGTTTTAAATATTCACTTTTAACTCTATCACCATGTAATTGTAAAAAAATTATACGTTTTTGAAGATCATGTGAGAATAATAATACATAGTCAATTTATTTATTAATGCATGAGTACTTATTTAAATATATATATTTTTTTATAATAATCTTAGATAATATATAAATTACAAGTAATTTAAAAATCAAATACTTATTATAATATTAAATAGTATTTATTTTTATACCTTATAGAAGAATTAGAAAATACTTTTTTGCTTCCGGGTAAACTAATATATTATTTTCAATATATGAATATAGGAATTGAATTCTAATATTCATTATTATTTTACTCTTTTAGATTTTTTAAATGAAGAATTATCTGAATATGGTAAAAAATAATTTTTTTTTTGTCTTTTTGAAGTTTTATGTTATTTATTTTACTATGCTAATCAGTGATGTGATGTTATTAAATTATTTACAAAATTACAAATAAATGGTCTCGTATATCTATATAAATTTAAAAAGTTACGGTATTTTGTTAATTTTTTTCTTAATAGAAAAGCCATTTACATTCATAATTTTTTTTATGTAAACTATCATCTTTAAATTTAATGAACAAATTATTAAAAACTATATATATATATATATTTATAAGAAATATAAAACCTTAAAATTTGAGATATAAATTAACATTAAGTCTTAAGATTTGTTAAAGTTTATTTTATTACCTGTTAAATGTGACAAACAATTTTTCAAAAATTTTAGTTGACGTAAGCCGTTATCATAAAGAGTATTTAATGAAAATTTTCTTTCACTTTTCTTATTTTTAAGAAAATTAATAAAAAATAATAATTATCAATTATTTAACATATATGATTAATAAGTAAGTTTTGATATCAGTGAATTTTTGATTATTATTAAAGACATATATCATTTATCGTTAAAATTAATGTTATATTTTAGAAAAATATATTTCCATTATAAAAGATAAACAATTGCTTCTTGAAAATGGAATCCGTTCTCAACTAAGGGGTAATTTTTATACTATTTTTTTTTTAACAATTGTAAAAGAATTTTTAGTTATCAATAAATGTTTTTAACTATTATTAGTATGTAATACAATATATCGATTTGTTAAACATACAGAGTGTTCTGCAAGTAAAGAAACAGGTAAATTGTAAAAACAATGAAAACACTAGAACCCCGTTTCCTTACTTACTGAACATTCTGAACACCTATAGAACATTTTCAAATGTGTCCATATAGGAGTCTGATATATTCATTTAAAAAAAAAGAGAAATTTTTATACAAAAAGTTCACTTTTGATAATGTTCCAATAATACTCCAAGCTATAAACATAATATAAATTAAAGCTCATATTGCGAACTATAATTTGAAAAAAAAAAATGTCCTAGTACCTCATCTTCTATTTAAACATTTTTACTGCAGTTAAAAAACATGCTATTTTTGTGTTGAAATTTTTTTTTTCATATTTTATTTTTCCAATAAATAGGCATAACCTTTTGAAAAATTTATTTATCAATATAATTTTTTTTGTGTCTTGTACATACATATCCTTTTTAACACGCTTATATTAGTTTCACCTGTATGTATGTATGTATGTTTGTAACTCTCCAAACGCCACACGTTATCGCATATTCTGTCGTCTAGACTAGACTGTCATAACGCATTCACCCCACACCACTCCTCTCTCACCACACGACGACAACACTATTCCTATAACAATTTATTTTTAGTTATCGTACCCGTACACACGTGCGTGTCATCAATAGTATATATATATAAACAAATTTTTATTTTGACTGACCAATATCATCCGCGTGTCATACGGCTTACGTATATATTCCTACTGCCGTTTATACCTCAGGTATAACGTTAGTCCCACCCATACATACATACAGATGAAACTAATATAAGCGTGTTAATAAATATAGTTTAAAAAAACTAAAAAAACACGCTTTTAAAGCACATCGAACTAAAAAGTTAAAAATAATTTTTAAAATAAACTTAAAATAATTATGAATAAAAAATACTAGTATTAATGTGATAAAAGCGTGGGTGCTTTGTGCCATATTTTTCGTATATTGAGTGCCCGACGCTTTTATCACATTAATACTAGTATTTTTTATTCATAATTATTTTAAGTTTATTTTAAAAATTATTTTTAACTTTTTAGTTCGATGTGCTTTAAAAGCGTGTTTTTTTAGTTTTTTTAAACTATATTTATTAACACGNAACTATATTTTTATCCAACATACTTTCTATTTTAATGTAATGTCCTGTATAAATGGCAGAATAAAGTAATCAATTTTCATAAATATTATGTTAATGAAATATACATTGAATGATTTATAAGTATACTACGTGAATTTATAATATTATTTTTAATATTTATTATAGTTATTAAACATAGTAAAAAATTGAAGTTCAATAATTTAGTATAGTATATTTTACGGAGAAATTATAAAAAGTTATTAAATTATTGAATTAGTGATTATTAAAATATGATTATATAAAATAGTGATTATTTTAATATTATCCACTCGATTCCTCTTAAAATCATAATTATGTCAAGTAAATTATTTTTGATTATTTTTAGTTTCATTTAATTCTAATTTATCTATTTAACTCTATTTGAATCGAAGTGTTTTTTATGATAGTGATTTTAATAACTAGTATTAAATATCTATTATAATATTAAATAGTATTTCATTTTATATCTTACAGAAAAATATAAAAAATCTTTTGCGCTACGAGGTAAACAAAACTTTTTTTTTATTTATGATTGTAGGAATTGATTTCTAATGTTGATTATTATTTTACTCTTTTAGATTTTTTGGATAAAAATTTATCTGAATATGGTAAAAAATCATTTATTTTTTTGTTTGAAGTTCTATGTTATTTATCTTACTATGTTTATCACTCATGTGTTATTTGATACTATGATAAAGATTAGGTAACACATTTTTTTAAATTATTTACAAAATTACTAATTATTTCATATATTTGAATAAAATTAAAAAATTTACCGTATTTATTAATTAAAAATCACAATACATAGACAATTTATTTACATAATAGATCAATAATTTTTTTTTTTTTTTTTACATGATTATAAGTTGTACATTAATTAAAGTTATAAGTTAACAATCAAATGATTTAAAATATATACACATATTTATAATTAAATTTTATACAATAATATTATAATTTACATTAAATTTGTAAGTCTTGCAGTTTCATAGAATCTGTAAATGGCATCCGTGTTTGCTTCGCCCAGAGCTTCCTCCATGTAGTTGGGGTGGCCTAGAATACTCCGTTCCTCCTTGTATGTGGGACAGTGGAGTTTTAAGTGTTCAATGGTCAATGGTACTTCACATGAAGAGCAATACGGTTGTTCCTCTTTGTTGAAAATGTACGAGTGTGTGAGTCTTGTATGCCCTATTCTGACTTTGTTGATAAGGATATCTACTATGTGAGCTGGGTTGATAGGCGAACGCCATTTTTGGACAGTTTTTTTAATGTTTTTTAATTTGTTGTTGGTAGTACCATCCCATTGGATTTGCCACTGTTGAACGGAAATTCGGTTAATTATTTTTAGAATATCTTTATATGGTAGTGACATTATTTTTGACGAAAGAGTAGAAGATATGGCTTGGTTAGCCAATGTGTCAATTTTTTCATTACCATTATTTCCAATATGTGATAGAACCCACATAAATTCAAAAGTTTTATCAGAGTTAGTAATGATGTTGCATATTTGGAGGGATAGTTCATTTGACGGGTTATTTGATCCATTCTCTGTTTTTGTATAATCAGAAAATACATTGTCGAGTTTAACTTGTGTTGTGCTGTCTGTAAGAAAGTTATATAAGAACATTAACATATGGCTATTTATGGACCAGCTAGATAGGATATTGATAACTCTATTTTTCCAGACCATATCATATGCTTTTTCCAGGTCAAAAGACACAAGGATAGTATGGTTTTCTTTTTTTCATGGATTCGAATATGTCTGTGTGCAGAGTAGCTAAAACATCTAATGTTGAATGTTTTTGTCGAAAGCCATATTGTTGTTTGATAAATTTATGATTCATTTCAAGATACAAAACTAGGCGTCTGTTTACAATTTTTTCAAGTAGTTTGCAAAGTGTACAAGTGAGAGATATTGGTCGGTAGCGAGTAATGTAAAATTTATTTTTTTCAGGCTTTAAAATTGTTTTCACAATTTCTTCACGCCATTTACTTGGATTTTATACATACATACCATATGTCCAGATAAGGTTATAGATTTCAAGGATCTGGTTAAGTGCATATTCTGATAGGTTTTTGATGAAGGCATACGGTATATCATCAGGTCCAGGACTTTTACTTGAGCATTTAGTTAATTTATAATGTAGTTCTTTAATTGTATGAGGGAGGTTGTACTCATAATCATTATTGTGAATATATACATTTATGTCGAAGGATTCGTCTTTGATGTTTTTGTGGGTGATAAAATTATTTTCGAAGTTTGAGTTGCTACTGTTATTTTGTAAATATGTAGCGAATGTTTGCGCAATTTCGTAAGTCGATGATTGTTCAAATTGTTTATCTCCGTGTTCATAGTACAGTGTTTTGGGTATTTGTTGGTATTTTATTCCTTTAAATGCTTTGATTTTATTCCATACAGTAGTTGAGTGAGATTGGTTGTTTATAGATGAAGTGAATTTATGTCAGGAGCTAGTTTTGCATTTTTTTAGGATGTATTTTGATTCTGCTCGTGCTTTTTTTAAAAGAATATGGTCGGTTAGCAATTTAGTTTTCTTATGTATAGGTTCAGATCTTTTTTATATTTTTTAATGACAAGTTTACATTTCTCATTCCACCAAGGAACTATTTTTTTATTAATTGGTCGGTTGGACTTTCCTATAGCAATGTTGGCTGATTCGACAATGGCATTTGAGAGTTTTGCTACAAGGTTGTCAATTTTATTTTGGTCTATGTTCAGAGAGAAGATATTAGGGACGTCAGGTTCTAGATATTGTAAGGTATGATCTACTAAGGAGGTGTAGAGTTCCCAATTGGCGTTTTTAAGTTTCCATTTATTTATTGGTTCAGGTTGGGGAGCTTGTCCAAATAATTTTAGAAGTATTGGCCAATGATCACTTTCATTATAAGATGTTAATGTATCCCATTCTATGTCAGGGGCAATAGTCGATGTAGCTATAGTGAGGTCAATTGCAGAAAGATTCCCATTAATGGGATTTTGTCTTGTAGGGTTGCCATTATTCAGGAGTATTAGGTTAGGGTCTTCAAGAAAGTGTTCCATTGTTTTACCACAATTGTCAGTGTATATAGAGCCCCACATTGTGTTTCGACTGTTAAAATCTCCTACAATTATAAAGGGCCTAGGTAATTGGGTTGTTATTTGAATTAAGTCTTGTTGTGTAAATGGGGTACTATCTGGTAGGTATATATTACATATGCTTAGTTGTTTGTGAAGTTTTACAGTGATTGCTACAGCTTCTAGGTTTGTATCTAAATTGATTTCTTTACTTTCTATATCATCTTTAATAAAAATAGCTACGCCTCCACTTGCTCTGCCGGGGTTAAATCTGTTTTTGAAATAGCCATTGTAGTTTTTAATGTGGCTAGCTTGAGTAAATTTTAGGTTTGTTTCTTGGAAACATAGTATATTTGGATTAAAATCAGAAATAATTCGTTGTATGTCTACATGGCATTTATAAAATCCATTTATATTCCATTGTATTATGCTCATGTTATTGGTGTTTTAATTTGTTTAAATCTTTATTTGTTTTGTAAGTGTCTTTGTTCTAGATTTTGTTTTGTGGGGGTATTTTATTTATTTTACGATGTTATTGTGCGTTTTTATATTCTTGGGTTGGTTGTACTTGGAAAAGTAGATTAAATAATTTGGTTAATTTGGATTTTATTGATCTATCATTGATATAAGGCCGAACTTTTCTATAACTTCTATTATTGTGGGTATATTGGATCCAATTTCATAATATATTGTATTTATATTATTATACTTATTACTGAAGTTTTCAACCAAGTATTTGAATTGTAGATACGTTATTTCGCTACTGTTATTGTTGCTTGAAAAAAAAAGGTTCAGATAGTTTTAATGCACTGTCAATGTTTTTATCGTCTAGTTGTGTTGATGAATTGGAGCGTGAGAGTACTTTAGTTTTTGTTTTATTTGGTTGTAGTATAGTGGGAGATTGCGGTGTTGTTTGAGATGATGTGTCCGATAGTGGCCTTTTCGTTAAATCTAGGAGAGGGTCATCTGAATTATCATTTTTATTTTCGTTGTTAATTGATTTTTATTTTTGGTTATTATCAATATTAGTATTATATTGTTGTGTTTTAGATTGCGCCCTTTCTTTGTAAGCGATATATTTAGAGAGGGCCGTCTTGTCAAGTGTTGGATATTCGGTAAGGTCCGCCCAATCAATCCGATTGTTTGCAAGATCTACGTCCATCTGTGGGCTGCCGGGAGGCCGGATGTTCTCTAAGATATCAGCGTTATCGTCTATGGGTGACATTAGTTGTTCTATTGGTTCATTGTATTATTTAGGTTCTTGGTTCAAGCTATTTGTGTTATTTTTACATGACATTGATTTACACATGAAGCAGGTAATTTTATCGTCTGTAAAAAAAATTCTGAATTGGGTTTCATTTAATTAAATTAGAAGTGTTCCTGGTAGTTACGGAACATCATCGTGTTTAATAAAAATTTGGCGACGATAGCTTAATATATGTTCATATCCCGATTCTTTAATTCCTGCTTTTAAATAATTAATTTCCGATATAGGTGATATTTTGATATTAGTTAATGCATTTATTATTACTTAATTAGGGGTGGAGGGGCATACGTTTGAAATGATTATTCGTTTGACTGGGTTGAGTAGTTTGCGAATAGGTATTTCGTGTTTTATTAATTTTTTTGTTTTTTCTAATAAGGTGTTTAATATTTTTTCGCTTGCAAAAAAAATGGCCCATTGATATCTTAGAAACAAATATGATATTAGAAGGTGAGATTATCTGGCCAATAGCGATAATGTAGTCTTTTAGTAATAGTCCGTCAATCGGATGTAATACAATAGCTTGTTCTCTTCTGGGTACGTTTGACGTTGCTAAGGCGACGTTCAAATTATTATTGTTATTAGATAATATGGGCTGTTTATCTTGAGTAGTTTGTGAAGATGAATAGGTCGCGGTTTTAGTGGAGGAAGAGGTGGTACTTGGTATTTGTGTTGTGGAAGCGGCTGAGCGCGGAGAATCGTGCAAACCGGTTTGATCTACATTAGTTGAGTGGGAAGTTGGAATATTGATTTTAGAATTTATTAATGTTTTTGGTTCGTTTAATGCATTAGAAGTTTTAGGACTGTTAGTGTTTCTTTTGTTTGTAGTTTGATTTGTTAGGGGGGCTCTGTTTAAGAGCAATTTTTTGGGCTGAGAGCCCAGTTTGTTAAGATTCATTTGGTAGTTAAGTTGGTTTTAAACGAAAAAAGCCATACTACCTGTTAGCGTACGTAAAGATAATATGCTATCGGGAGCTTGAAAAGCGATAACGTGATAATGAACACACGTGTTGCACTGTCGGGTATGGAACACGTACTGAGATCAATAATTATTTTAATACTTTTTACATATTAATCTTAGATAATACACAAAATACAAGTAATTTAAAGATCAAGTACCTATTATAATATTAAATAGTATTTGTTTTTATACCTTATAGAAGAACTAGAAAACACTTCTTGGATTCAGGGTAAAAAACATTTTTCATAATTTTTAAATTTAAGATTTGAACTATTATCTTGATTATTATTTTTATATAGTAGATTTAAATTAGATAATTATTATAAGTGTTAATAATGTTAGATTTGGAAATTGTCAAATGTTATAATATTAAATAGTATTTGTTTTTATATCTTATAGACAATTTAGAAAAGACTTCTTGGATTTTGGGTAAACAATTTATGAGTAGAAATTAAACTCTAATCGTGATTATTATTTTACTTGTGTAGATTTAATTTAGATAATAATTTATAAGACTTATAATAATAATAAGCACTAAAAGATAAATTTGACAAATATTAAAAATTAATATCCTCTAATTTTCTATTGATTATATTTTTAATTTAGATTTCACACCGACTGTTATAGATATAGAATGTATGTATAAAAATTAAATATATTAAATTACATCAGATTTCTGTGTAGAATCTGTTTTAATTATTAAATTTTTTTTTTAATAATAATACATCTCATTTTATTCGTTTTTTTTAAATATTCATTTTTCTTAAAAACTTAAAAATTATTTATTTTTTATACATTTTTTCAATAACTTCTTCAAATTAATTAAAATATAAATTTTACATAGTGGTGTAATTAACTAAAAAAATGTTGACAAAATTCATCAGAATTTATAAAGTAACAGCTTCAATTTTATACTGACCTACTTGAGATTATCACTTTGGGGCTCCTTAAAATCAAGTTGTACTACTGGGTCTAGATGATCTTATACTAGGTCGATAAATTAATTAGAATTATAATAAATTTATGTATATTAATATTATGTGAATTGTATTAACTTTGTATCATAAATATTGTTTAAAAATTTACCTCAACTTTAGACGAACAAAACAACAATTTTAAATTATGTTCATACGAACATGCAAGAAATGTTCGTTATAGTCAAATTCTAATTCCATCATTTCAAAAAATATATGCTGACAAATCAGGTAATTAAAAATTTCATGACACTCTTTATAACATAAGAGAGATGGTAATATAAAATTAATGTTGCTCAAATTCCTTTCATAAAAGAATCTGTCCAGTTCTTTCTTCATTTGAAAAAAGAAATAGGTCCTTTACAAATGTCTTAAAAAATAAATAAATTAGTATAGTTAATCTATGTTATTTTGTTTCCATTTATTTTTTGCGTATATTTGGTATACATGCTATTAAAAAGAGTTCCGTAAGCAGTTTTTGGGGATTTGTTACTCCCTTTAATCACAGTAAAAAAAAATTAAAAATGTTGGCTCATATAATATAATAGTAAAAATATATAAGATAATAGTATATAGACCCTATATAATATAATAATAAAAATAAAAATGTTTAAATAGTCTTTTATGATAAGGTAAATTTAGAATACTGCTATAATTCCTCAATACGATCACTAAGCATTGTTTAAGCTGGTGTACACTTGTTATCTTTACTCTACAGAGAGATTGTTTTAACATTAGTTAATCGATTTATCTTAAAATTATAATTATCTTAAGAAAATTACTTTTTGGTGTTTTTTAGTTTCACGTGTTTCTTAATTTATTAATATTTATGTATTAATTTTTCTATTGCATCTTTCTAAGGGTGTCAATATTTTTGTTTTAATGACAACATGCATATTGAACAAATTTGTAAGATAAAATATTATCTAATTAAGAAAAAGGCTGGTCAATAACAGCATTCGAATTAGTACTTTGACTGTTATTAATATTTTAAAATATAATGTGGAGGAAGAGCATAGCAGAGTAATACTTAATGATAAAATTAATAAAATCCACATTACACCTACACTCTATATTTTAAAATAGCTGTAGCATCCAACATAATATCTCTTATGTTATCATCGACCAGTCATTTTCTTAATAAGATCATTTTCTATTTTATAACCTACTTGAATATGTATGTTGTCGTTTAAAAAATAAAGTTGATATTCTTTAGAATGTACGGGATTATTTAAACAATTAAATTATAATTGAAAAATGAGAATTAAATGAAACAAAAATTATCAAAAATAATTTTCTTGGCATAAATATGATTTTATAAGAAGTTCAGTGTCTAATATTAAAAAAAAATATTATTACGATACAAATTATAGTAACAATATAAGTACTATTTTGCAAAATATCATTTCACATTTTTATTCTTTTTCGATTTTGTAATGGAACTCGTTCTGACATTTTTTTTTTTCAATAAAGAAATCAATTACAGGAACTATTTAATTTCAAATACATTTTATTTTAACACTCTATTAAGTCTACAAGGTCAAAGGGCTTATTTTTTTTTTTTTGTCATTCATTATTATTAAGTTGATACTCAGTTTCTTGTATTTATATTTATAGTAAAATCGTAATTATAAGTAATAATGTTTTTCGTTTAGATAACATGAAAATGTGTTTAAATGATGATGGATTTTTTTGTAAAATTGTTGGTTTGGTTGAAAGAATAAATAATGACAATATCGTTAATCAAAAAGTTGAATGCATTGAAAATCAATGTATAGTTGAAACAACGGATAAAGCAAATAACATACGTAAAAATATTTTCAAAGAAAAAGTAGTCAATAAACAAAAAAACATTGTGACAGTACAAAATCATAAGGAAAGATGTGTTTTTTATTAATTCAGCTTTTCCATAAAATATAACTATTGATTGAAGTAATAATTTTTTTTTTTAATTCACGAGAGATAAAATATTTAACTTGTATTCAGAAAGTATAATCATATATTTTTAATTCAACTATTGATGTATTGTTCTATTTCTAATTTTAAATTATAAAAATGTTTTTAATGCATTTCTTTATGTCATATATAGATAATCCATACATATAAAAATAAAATAAATACATACACAAATGTGTTTTAGAATAATTAGAATCACATATAAGGAGGGGATCACAAGGTTCACATACCTTGACATCAAGGTGGTAATGGAGAAATCACAACATGAATTATAAAGTTAAATACCTCATAAAAGTTCAAACAAAATTAGGTGATCCAGAAAAAAATGTTTTTGACGAGTAAATTAAAGAGTCATTGTTGGCGGCAGAATTAAGTACCCTAGATACCACAATTCCTAATTGTGGCCCTAAGTATAATATATTTATAATGAAACAAAAATATATTATTATTTAATTTTATATAAATTTAATCTACAATCAATAATTTGAGTCGCTATAGGCTGTAGTGAATAATATACATATAAATAAAAATAATATTTTTTTATTGGTTTTGTTCAATATTTATCTTCATTTTTCAATCATATATATTTTTATATTTATCTTTTATAACTTATAAGGGTGTCAACTTAAATGACAGCACACATAATTAATTTGCTTATTTATTAGATAATGGTATAATTAAGAGAATGACTGATTGGTCGATAACAACTTTTGAACCAGTATTTCGTAAATTATAGACATTATATACATATAGGTAAAAGGAAGAGTACGGGCAGGAAATGTCTAGTTATAAAAATAGCAGCCTCCACTCTTTACCTCCAGTCTTAACTTTAATTATGAATAACTAAAGCTCGATCGACCCAATGAAAGCATTCTAGATCGCCAAGATCGAAAAGGGCTGAACAAGTGAGATCTAACGTGAAGGTTATGCTCAATGTGTTTTTCGATTTTAATAGCATAGTGCTTCATGAATTCTTGATGATATCTGACAGTGGTTTTAATCATTGTCATAAGAAACGCTTTGATACAAATCTGTAGATGCTGTTTACAAAAGCAACATCAACTCCTATTTCCTTAATTAAATCCTGATTAGTATTTCTTAGATTTAAAAGTATATATATTTGAATAAATATTTATTATAGCAATTAAATATAGTATAAAATAAATATTTATTGTTTAATATTGTAATTTTTACGTAATGATAATAAAATGAAATGATAAACTAGTATATTTCGTCACTTCTATATCAAACATATATAAAAATTAAAGGGTTTTATACAATATTTTATTAAAATTTTTTTTTTACTTATGAATAAATACATTCAGTGGCGGCTCGTTGTTTGGATAATGGGATGATAGTACCCCCTACTAAAATTAATTAAATCAAGAAAATTAATTTTACATTCTTAATTCTACGTATTTAAATAAAAATGCAAATTTTTAAATAGTAAAATAGTTATAATACATTTGTCGTATGCGAACATTAATGTTGTTTCCAACTATCAACTTAAAAGAACAAAAAAAATTAAATAAGTTTATCTTTTGGAGCTATGTAAATTATATTTATATAATATTTATAAGAATCACTGGACTCCCCCTTACTAGGTATTTTAAAATAAAATACAAAACTAAGAATTTTAACACAAAAATAGCATATTTTTGATACGGTAGCCATTTTTACCATGAATACAAGTCCATTGGTCAATTTTTTTTTTCAAATTCAAGTATATTACATAAGCTTTAAAATATATATTAAAGTGTCAGTAAAACATTTTCAAATAAAAGTTTATAAAGTTAATTTTTTGCGGAAAAGTTATTTTTTTAAATCTCCACCTATGGGCAGGTAAACGGTTAGATTTTCCAAATAACAAATAAACATGTAATGTATCTATAAAAAAAAAATAGTTTCTCTTCATCCATTTTTCAAAAATCGATCGCAGTGTAAATAAAACTAGTTGAAAAAACATCAAAATTTACCAATTTATAAAATTGCAATTTTTTGGAAGATTTTCCTCACTTACAGGGAACGAAGAAAAATTTTTGAATTTCTGAGAGCAATGTCTTCAACTAGATACTAATTGTGATATATTGTTCATTAAAATCGGTCTAGTGAGAACTGAGAAAAATAGGTAACAGATGCAATAAATTTAAAAAAACGGTAGCACAGTGGAATCGCAGCGCAGTATAGACGTGGCATAGTTGGAACAAGTATAGATGATATTTAATAGTAATAAAAATCACTATCATAAGAAACGCTTTGATGCAAATCTGTAGATAGTGTTTAATTTTAAGAAATTGGTAGTTTATTTTAAAGCAACAATAACTTTTATTCCCTTAATTTTATCCCGATTAGTTATTTTATTTACAATTATAATATATGAATAAATAATAATTATAGTAATTAAATTTAGTATGAAATTGATATTCAATAATTTAATATTGTAATTTTTACGGAGATGTTATAAAAATAATAGTTAGTTGTATATTTCTTTACTTTTAACGCATATAAAAATTTAAAGGGCTTGATGCAATACTTTTCAATAAAAAATATTTGTTGAATAAATACACTGGACTACAAGGAACTACTATCAGAAGCAAAAGAAAATACTGGCTTAATTAAGTTATTAAAGATGTCAACTTGATGGGACATTCTGTAGGCATTAGCTCCAACATTAATTTAACTTAAACATAATTATTGTTAGAAATGGCAATATTTCCAATAGAATGTAAAAACTTATCCGTATCACGAATTATATATTTCTGAAGGCATAGTTTTGTTATTCATTATATAGAATACTATTGTCAATTTCTCACATTATTCTGGTGTAGTTATTAAAAAGTATACGTTAAGAGATTAAAATTTATAGACTTATGTTTAAATTAATATTTAGGAGAAGATGAGGTAGATTTTAATAAAATTAACAATATAATATTTTGTACTTCAAGTGAATAAAAATATAAAGTTTTGAGGTTCAGTATTATATAGGATTTAAAATAGTTCAGCCAATCCTATTAATAGTTCAAATATTTTTGATCTATGTTAGATATATTTTAATTTTAAATGTACCCTAACAATGTGGTATATTTGAATCTTTAAGGAAGACATTTGTATTACTTAATTATTATGTGTAAAAAAAAATAATTTTTCTCCAAATAACTCACAAAAAACAATTATAAAATAAGATACAAAATGTCTACACAAGTACAGTTATTTATAAAGTATAATTTATAATTACCATGAATTGTATTAAAACGAATTTATTTAACTAAATCTATAAATATATTATCATTCCTTAAAATATTAAAAATAGTTTTAGGCATTATAATATTGATACTTAAAAATTATCATTATGAATGATCTCCCCCTACTTATTATGTTTTGTTGATAGCATTGATCTAGACAATGTTATTTTTTAATTCTTTTCTTGTTAATATTTACTAAAATAAAATTTTTTTTCTGTTAAGTTATTATTAAATTAATGAATTAACCCAACTATTTCATTAATTATTGTTGCAATTATTTTCACTTTTTTCAATAATCAATTGTAACTGTTGGATAAGAGTATATTCTTTTAAATTCATTTACTACAAGTTAATTTGTTGTATGATTTTATTTACTAATTTTTAAATCATTATATGACTATTGTGTTTTATTATTCAGTTTTTATTAGTCATAACTGCAAAATTCGGTTTGCTTTCTATAAATTGTTTTATGAATAATAGGTTTTTAAAAAATTATATATCTATTTTTCATACTTATAATAAATCATTATTAATGTTCCACATATTTTAGCAATGCTAAAAGACAGTTTTTTGTCACATTTTAATTTATTATTCTACTTATAGTTATACATTTTTTCTAATAAAAATAATTTTTATATATAAAATTCCTTTACAGTTGTCTTTTGTAAGAATGAGTAGTAAATCAAATTTCAAAAATTATTCCAAAAATATAATTTGAGATTTATTGTATGATGTTTCTTTACATTATACATTATAATAGACTATTTAGCTCAAAAGAGTAATTTAAGCTTAATGCAACATATTTCAACTCATTAGATTTTCAATTTAATACCACATTTTAAATGTACTATCTCTACTAAACAACAATCATGGTTATTTTAATGATAGTTAAACAATATTGATGATAATATCAAGTTTTTTTTTAAATTATAAACAACGACAATTATTATTTTATAATCTAGTTGCTAAGTGAATGAATAAATCTTATACATAAAGTAATAATGATTGTTTTAAACACATTATTGTTAAAATTGTATAATTTACTTAGTATACGAGCTATATTGTTTACCTAATATGAGTACACATGTGTTTTTAAAAATATCTTATTTTAGCTTCGATGCGAAACTGAGAAGGTATTGGTTTTACTAAGATATGTTTGTTTTTTTTTTTTTTTGTCTGTTACCACTTTTTCTCAGCTCTCACCGAACCGATTTCTTTCAATGATACGTCAAAAGATCACAAATTGTATCTAGTCAAAGACATTACACTCAAAAATTGAAAAAATTTTCCTCATTCCCCGTAAATGGAGAAAACCTGCAAAAAAATTACAAATTTAAAAATCGCTAATTTTCATAATTTTTTCAATTTTTTTTACTTAAAACTGCAATAACTTTTTCAATAATGAACATATCAATATAATTTTTTTTCATAGATGCTTGATGACTTTACCTATCAATTGGTATATTTTTTTTATAAATCTGACCCTTTACCTGCCCACAGGGGAGGATTTAAAATTACAACTTTTTTACAAAAAATTAATTTTTTCAACTTAACTTTTAGAAAAGTTCCGGAAGTCTGACACTTTTATATATACCTTAAATTAAATTAAATAAAGAAATAGCAGATAATGTAGCTTTTTGAATAATCCAACAATTTTTTAAAATTAAACACCATCTAATGATTTGCATGGAAGCGTTTTTTATGATAGTGATTTTAAATCTTGACCCAACTATGTCACGTCACCACTGTGCCGTAACCTCCTTATGTTGGGTTTTTATTTTATTACTTTTTAAGTTAATGTAATTTCTATTTATAGGCGACAGGAGTGCGCAACGTATAAGAAGTCTTATCATAGCGTTATATTAAAATTAAACCGTCGCTCAACACTATTTTGCTTATCATCTTTTCTAAATCTTTTAATACTAATATTGAAAAAATTGTGCCACAAAACCGGTTATCGGTCAGTTAACATTTTATTTAGACTACTCTAAATTTATTAGTAGAAAAATCAAAATAAGTTATCTTTTAATTTTTGAAAGTTACCCATAAAATTTATCTTTAGGATTATTTTGATGATTTTAATCACTGTCAGACATCATTATACTTGACCCAACTATGTCATGTCACCACTGTGCCACGACCCCCCTATGCTGGGTTTTGTTGTAATAGGCCCTACACACATAAACAATTTAGTCTTCTGTTTTCTTCTTATTCACTTCTCAACACATATAGAAATTCTTTTACAACACAATATCTTTTCACATAACATATAAGTAGGGTGAAAAAGGGGATTCAGCCCGATAGGGGAAGTGAGAGGCGTGGCCTATGTGGAAAGAGTGGGAGAAATATGCGTGTTCTGTTAAGGGGAAGGCAGTCACCGCTTCACCCACCCACCTCACCACCTGTGATGTAGGTGAAGAGGTGTGGAGGGGGGAATAAATCCAACGTAAACTAACATAATGCAATGGGAGGGGGAACGATGATGTAACCCAACGTAAACTAACCTAAGAAGAACCTCTCCTCCTCTACCAAGTCTTAGGGTGGAGGAAGTGAATCCAACGTAAACTAACATAATACAATGGGAGGGGGAACGATGATGTAACCCAACGTAAACTAACCTAAGAAGAACCTCTCCTCCTCTGACAAGTCTTAGGGTGGAGGAAGTGAATCCAACGTAAACTAACATAATACAATGGGAGGGGGAACGATGATGTAACCCAACGTAAACTAACCTAAGAAGAACCTCTCCTCCTCCTCCTCCAAGTCTTATGAGAGAAGGGTAATGTAACTTAAGGTAAACAAACCTATAGGAGGAGGGGGAATGAAACACGACGTAAACTAACACAACCTGTCACGCGCCTAAATTATGCTCGCCCATATATACATAATATCGGTTTTTTGGGGAAAAAAAAAAAAATGCATTTTCCAGGTAAGCTATACGGTTAAGGTGAAAAGTACGAATTTTAAACGTCGAATCCGCTATTTTGATATGCCACATGCATATATTTAGATAAAGTCCATACGTAAAATGTTAATTTTACCTAATTTGTGGAAAAAAATTAGTTCGAAACATTGTGTGCCAGATGGCTGTATTGATGATTACACTATAGCACTTGAGATTAATACACCAGATGGCCCATGGCGTCGGCGACGGCGTCGGCGATGTCGCCGTCAATTAGATTAATTGTTATTATACGAGTTAATAAGCTTGACCGTTATTCGTATAGTGAATAATAAATCAATATTTTTTCTGTAGACAATATATACTAATGGCGACTTTTCAAGTTTTCTTATAGCAAAACACATTCTTAAATAAACACTACCGCCGCCGCCGCCGACGACGACGACGTAATCACTGGAACATATATATTATAATGTTTATAATATTCTTATAATCTGTATTATACTTATCGATTAATGTCGTACATATATANATATACAGGGTGTTCAGTAAACTGAATTGTTTGTAACAATGAGAACAATAGAAACCCGTTTCCTGACTTATTGAACACCCTGTATATTATAATGTTTATAATATTCTTATAATCTGTATTATACTTATCGATTAATGTCGTACATATATATTTTGTCTGAATT